AAACCTGGTGGCACATGCCTGCTGTCTTAGCTCCTCCATTTGTTTGGTTGACTGGTTGTGACAGGGTCTTAATCTGTACCCAGGCTGGCCTTGAACTCCTAGCAATCCCTCTCCCTCTTATTGTTCAGATGCTGGAACTACAGGAGCACACTACCAGACCTGGCTTTATGGAGCACTGAGAATGAAAGCCAGGGGTTAGTTATTTGCTAGACAAGCAACTGAGCTATATCTGCAGCAACTAAAAACTTAATTCAGAAAGACTTGATTTATTTTTGTTGCTGTTTTTTAAAACAATTATTTATTTATTTAATACAAATACAACACCCTGCCTCCATGTACACATCAGAAGAGGGCACCAGATCTCATTACAGATGGTTGTGAGCCACCATGTGGTTGCTGGGAATTGAACTCATGACCTCTGGAAGAGCAGTCCATGCTCTTAACCTCTGAGCCATCTCTCCAGTCCTGTTTTTGTTTTTGAAGACAGGGTTTCTCTGTGTAGCCCAGGCTGACCTGGAACTTACTTTGTAGACCAGGCTGGCTCAGAATTCAGAGATCCTCTTGCCTCTGCCTCCTGAGTTGTGATTAAAAACCTGAAATGCTTTTTTCGGTCATACTTTTTTTAAAAAAATATTTTATTTATGTATACAATCTTCTGCATGCAAGCAGAGGGCACCAGATCTCATTTAAGGTGGTTGTGAGCCACCATGTGGTTGCCGGGAATTGAACTCGGGACCTCTGGAAGAACAGTCAGTGCTCTTAACCACTGAGCCATCTCTCCAGCCCCCTGGCCATACTTCTTATGTACATGCAAATGAATACTTTATTTGCACATGCCAACAAATATGCTACAGCACAGGTAGTGGTGACAGGATGGCTTCCAAGAGCCAGAGTTCTCTCCTTTGCTCCTGCAGATTCTGGGGACCAGACTGTGGCTGTCAGGCTCGGTGGCAAGTGCCATTAGCCACTGAGTCATCTAAGGAGCCCCGATTTTTTATTTTTTTAATAAGGGAACAGAAAAGTCAAGCTCAGGTCTGTAGCCCCAGCACTAGGTAGATGGAGCAGGAGGATCAGGAGTTCAAGGTCAGATGGTCTATGTAGGCCAATCATGAGAACTCACCTCACACCCAAAACAAGTCAGGTATGATGGCCTAGGCCTGTAATCCCAGCACTCAGGAGCCTGAGACAGGAGACCTACTGCATGTTTAAGGCCAGTCTGGACTATAGAGCGAGACATTGTCTCAAAACAAAAACCAAAACCAACCTAAGCAGCAGCAGAGGATGCAAACACCGCAGTGTCGTTTTCTTTCCCGCTCTCATCCCGTGCTGAACTGGGCATGTTTCAGCCACATGGACTGTACTCAGTAAGGACTAAAGGTCCCTCTTCATTGTTAAAAAGATTTATTCTTATTTGATGTGAATGGGTGTTTTGCTGGAATGTAGTTGAGCATCACCTGAGTCCAGCGCCTGTGGAGGCCAGAAGAGGGTGATGGACCCATGGAACAGGAGTTGTGTGCAGTTGTGAGCCACTGAATGGTGCTGGGATCAGAACCAGGTCTTCTCCAAAAGCAGCAAAGGCTCTCACCTGCTGAGCTATCCTCTAGCCCTCTGCCTCTATTTAAAACAAACAAAACCCCCAATGGGATGCTTCTTGGTTTTAGCAATGGGCATCTCTTTCATCTCAGTTGGGCTTTAAATGTGAGATGGGGCCAAAAGAAGACTTGGTCGCCGGGCGTTGGTGGCGCACGACTTTAATCTCAGCACTCGGGAGGCAGAGGCAGGCGGATCTCTGTGAATTCGAGACCAAGCCTGGTCTACCAAGGGAGTTCCAGGACAGCCTCCAAAACAATACAGAGAAACCCTGTCTCAAAAAAACAAAAAACAAAACAAACAAACAAACAAAAAAAGACTTGGTCTCTTGTAGGCACAAGCAGATATGCCCACACCCTCCTGGATCCAAATGAAGATGATCTTCCTGTGGAGCACGATAGGAAGTGCTTCTTTTCAGGATGGTTTTCCACGCTTTAGACAGATTGTTTTGTTAGCATTTGGAAACAAATGAGGGCTGGAGAGATGGCTCAGAGGTTAAGAGCACTGACTGCTCTTCCAGAGGTCCTGAGTTCACTTCCTAGCAACCACATGGTGGCTCACAGCCATCTATAATGAGATGTGGTGTGCAGACCGACATGGAAGCAGGCTGTTGTATTCATAATAAATAAATCTTTAAAAAATAAACAAAAACAGACATAGTGTGAATTCCGCTCAGTTATTGTCTTTGTTGGTAGTTGTAGCCAACACTAAGCAAGCGTAGGTCGTGGTGCTCCTTAGGCTTCACCATGCACCATGCAGATGAGGTTTTCTTTTTTGTTGTTGTTTTTGTTTTGTTTTGTTTTTTGAGACAGGGTTTCTCTGTGGCTTTGGAGGCTGTTCTGGAACTAGCTCTTGTAGACTAGGCTGGTCTTGAACTCATAGAAATCCACCTGCCTCTTTCTCCCAAGTGCTGGGATTAAAGGCGTGCGCCACCACTGCCCAGCACAGATGAGCTATTCTAAACCCACTTGCAGGGTTCTTCTGTTGCTACCCAGAGACATGGTATAGGGGGAGAGAGGGAGGAGTTTATCCTCAAACAGAGCTGGTCATCTTGGCTCAGCTTTCCAGCTATCCACCAAAGCTGTAGAGATACTGATGTTAGATGCAGGATATCAGCCTGCATTCAGGGTATATGGTGTGTGTGTGTGTGTGGTGTGGTGTGCGTGTGCTATGTGTGCAGTGTACATGTATAAGTATTCTGTGCCTGTATGTGCGTCTATCTGTGGTGTGTGTTTGTGTGGTGTGTGTATATGTGTGGTGTGTGTGTTTATGTAGTGTGTGTGTGTTTGTGTGGTGTAAGTGTATGTGGTGTGTGTATGTTTGTGATATGTGTGTGTGTTGTATGTGTGGTATGTGTGTATGTATGTGGTGTATGTGTATGTGTGGTGTGTACTTATGTGTGTAGTGTATGCGTATGTGTGGTGTGTGTGTGGTATATGTGTGTGCATGGTGTTTATGTGTATGTGTGTTTATTGTGTATGTAATGGTGGAGTGTGTGTGATATTGGGACTGAGCATTAAATTGTAAGCAACCTTAAGAATCTTTTTGTCATACACTATAAAACTTGTCTTCATGACAAGAGATTCAAATCTTTTGTTTTGTTTTGTTTTCTCTATTGTTTTGGAGCCTCTCCTGGAACTTGCTCTGTAGACCAGGCTGGTGAACTCACAGAGATCTGCCTGTCTCTGCCTCCTGAATGCTGGGATTACAGGAGAGCACCACCACCCAGCTCAAATCTTGTTTTGATTTTTTTTTTCTTGAGACAGGGTTTCTCTGTTTAGCCTTGGCTGTTCTGGAACTCACTTTGTAGACCAAGCTGACCTCAACTAGGATTAAAGGTTTATACCAACATGCCCCGTTCTTCAGTTCCTTTTGAGATTAGCTGATGGAGAAACAATGTGAGGTCAGACGCCAGCCAATGAGGAAAAGACACAGTTGCCACCTGCACAGAATTAAAACCCTTACTGCCCTCTGACCCCACGCTTGCTCTTTTGTGAGCAACACTGGAATCCAGAGCCGCAGTTCTCAACCTGGGAGTCCAGTGACCCTGTCACAGGGGTCGCCTAAGACATCAGAAAACACAGACTTCACAGTAGAAAAATTACAGTTAGGAAGTAGCAACAAAAATAACTTTATGGTTGGGGGTTCCCACATAGCGGTACTAAGGAAAGCTGAGAACCACTGGTCTAGACTTTAGGGCCTAGATCAAATTTTGCCTTGACATTTCAACTGGAGTGTCAGTCTCTTACTTTAGGGCCTTGAACTTCCATTTCTAAGAAAACCCAGGGCCCTGCTTAGGTCAGGAAATACTTTGTCACTGAGCTATATCTCCGAGCCTTGTGAATAACCCTCAAAGATGAAAGACAGGCAACTCGCTGCAACAGTAAAAGCATTGTATTTATACATGACATTTCACCTAGTCCTATGTGAATACTCAACACATGAGGGCCAGAGAGGTGACTCGGCGGTTAAAAATGCCAGCTGAGGACCTAGGTTCTGTTCCTAGCTTCCACATGGTGGCTGACAACCATCCTTAATCTCCAGTTCCAGGGGAACAAACCCCCTCTTCTGGCCTCCTTGGGCGCTGCATGCATGTGGCACACAGAAAATAAAAACAAATAAACCTTAAAAAAATACCCAACACGCCGGGCGGTGGTGGCGCACACCTTTAATCCCAGCACTCGGGAGGCAGAGGCAGGCGGATCTCTGTGAGTTCGAGGCCAGCCTGGTCTACAAAGTGAGTTCCAGGACAGCATCCAAAGCCACAGAGAAACCCTGTCTCGAAAAACCAAAAAAAAAAAAAATACCCAACACATCTTTATTGAGTAGCTAGGGTGTGCTAGGTACTGAGGTCACAGCTATCAACAGCAGCAGTAAGCCCTAAGCTCTTTCATAAGAGTCTTTGGCTCAGGTGATAATTAATTGCAGAGACTTACAAATGCCGGAGAGAAACCATAATGAGGGCGGGTTCTGAGGGTGAAAGCACTGCTGTGAAGACTAAGGGCCTGAGCTCGATCCCTGGAGCCCACAAGCTGGAGAGAACTGACTCTCACTAGCTGTACTCTGACCTTCACACTCTGACCTCCACACATGTACTGTAGCACCTTGTACCTCTCCCCCACATAAATAACAAATGTTTAAAAACATTTTAACTCAGAACGACAAAGTGAAATCAAGCCTGCTAGATAAGATACTGGGCGGTGGTGGCCCAAGCTTTTAATCCCAGCACTCGGCAGGCAGAGGTAGGCAGAGCTATGTGAGTTCGAGGCCAGCCTGGTCTACAGAGCGAGTTCCAGGAAAGCCAGGGCTACACAGAGAAATCCTGACTCAAAAAAAAAAAAAAAAAAAAAAGATACAGAATGCCCAGTTCAATGGGAACCTTACATAAACAATGCATGCTTTTTTCAGGGTAAGTGTTCTCCTGTAATATTTATTATAAAAATGAGTGTTTGTTCCCTGAAATTTGTGTCAAGTTGGGCAGCCTGTCTTTTACTGGCTAAATGGTGTGCTGTTGAGTGGGCAATTTCAGAGAGCGGTAAAGCATCCCCGAGGAGCTGCCACTGTTCTGCAACCAAATGCAAAGGGAGCCAGCCATTGTCGGATGCAGAGGAGCATCCAGGCAGAGGTAGGAGCAAGCGTCAATGCTGTCAAGTGGGACAAGCGTGGAGCTGGGAGGGACACAGAAAGCAAGCCAAGCTGCTGAGGCCCCTGGTCTTTTCCTACTGCACTTCACTAGTCCTAAGTCTAGCTCAAGCTGGCTTCCAAGCCTTCACCGTTCTCCCCAATGCTTGCCAGGCCAACAGTCACGCAGTTGCCTCCTGACTCTTGGAACGGTAAGTTTTCTCTTAGTCACGGGCCTCCAGTTCATCCTGGTTATCTTCAGGTTGCCACCAGTTACATCATCTGAGAAAGGAAGAAAAAAAAGGTATTTTGAGGAATACCCCCTAGCTCTGACTGGCCTCAAATTCACTATGTAGATCATGTAGGGTTCAAATATATGGTGATTCTCCTGCCTCTGCCTCCTGCGTGCCAAGTGATAGGATAACAAGCGTGTGCTATCTTGTCCAGCTTCTGAAATCCTTTTCTAAAGTCGTGTGTGTGTGTGTGTGTGTGTGTGTGTGTGTGTGTTCCTCAGTTCCTCCCTACCTGAGTTTTTGAGGCAGGATCTCTCATGGAAACAGGAGCTTAGCCCCAGGGATCCTCCTGTACCTGCCTTCCCAGATACAGGATTACAGTCAGGCAGCCGAGGCAGAACTTTTATTTGACTGCTGGGGATTCGAACTCATATCTACTTAATTTCATGGCTATCCCTTCCCTCAGCTTGGAAGTCTTACTCATTCGGTTATTCCGCTTGTCCTAGAATGGACGGTCGCTCCCTTCTCTGGTGGAAACGAGTACAGTCCACCCAACAGTTGAAAGTCACTAAGAGCCACTTGCAGAACATGCCATGATCTGGGCAAAGAAATCCAAACCACCAGCCTGCGTCAAAGGACAAGGTGTCTCGCGACGCCACCGCAGAACGGAACGGGGTTCCGATTGGCCCTTGCAGCCGGGGTGGGGCCAAAAGCATCCCTGGCTCCGCCCCTTGTCTCGGCCTCTCTCGCACATGCGCTGTGGCCGCCACCTCCGCCGCCGCGCCATTTTGCCGGGGTTTGAATGTGAGGCGGAGCACCGGCAGGAGTGGGTAGTGTCGGCTGCAGCTCTCGCCTGGGATTCCCTTCTCGGTCTCGGTGTCCCCACGAGGTGAGGCATGGAGTGAGCAGGGTGGCTGAGGGGACGCGGCTAAGGGAGGGGACGAGCGCTGGGAAGTGGGTCCGGGCCTCCCCGCACGCCGCCTCAGGGCCGGGCCTGACCGCTCCGGGAAGGAGGGCAGCTTGAGGCTGGGCCTCACGCTAGCTTCCCCAGCTCCCGCCCCTTCCCTTCCAGCGCCGCGCTGATTGGTCGCGCCGCCGCCCTTCGCTCCGTAGGTGTTCTCGGATTGGTCGCGCCAGCGCGTCCGTTCTCGGCGCGCCGGGGCCCGCAGCGTGTGCGGTGCTCGGCGCCGAGGCCTGAGTTGGCCGAGCGGGTCTGGCCCCTGGTGTTGAAGGAGGCTGGAGCTCACCACTTTGGCTTCGCGGGTCCTCGATCTCCACTCCGGTGGACATGGGCCTCGGGGTGTCCCCTGGCTGAGTCGTTGGTGCTCCTAGGACCTAAGGAACGTACAGTCAAATGGGGTTTCCCCTTCCCGGGGCGCACTGGCTTTCGAGTTGCATGCATAGTCTCTCCCTAGGAGTGCAATTCAGAGCCAGTCGTTGTGTCTCTGTGGAACATGCAATGTTCTAGTAATGTGATGCCGGTGGTGGGTCCGTGTTCTCGCACGGCAGTCTCTTCCACTGAAAGCACGTTTTTATCCGCACCTCAGACTTAGGTTCATCGCTTGCACGCTTGGGTAAGTGGCTTTAAGTTTCCACTGATGGTTGCCTGTGCTTCCCAGAGGTCTCACCCGAGCCACCGTCCCCCTCCCATCCATCTCTGCAGAAGCACTGTAGCCATGCCGGCCTGCTCCCTTTTGAGTATTCCCAGCCCCGTCCTGCCATGGGGTCCCCGCCTTCCTGATCTTAGGAGCAGCTAGCCTTGGATCCTGGGGAGGCTGCCCTTTGAAGTTCCTCTCTTAGGCATCAGTTCTCCCTTCTCAATTCACAGCAGTCACCCAGTTTTGTTTTGCTCCGTAGCATTGACTTATAGGTGGTTCCTACTGCTGCTCTCTCGTCCTTCCCATCTGCTCTGGTGTCAGCTCCTCGAGGGTAACCTCTCTTATTTGTGCGGCACATGATGGATGCTCCTGTCATTCCATGGAGACCTGGGAGGCCCTTTCTTGTTTAAGTTTTGGATAAAAGGTCTTCCATGGCCCAGGCTGACCCCAGATTCCTCTTTCTACAAGTGTAGGCTGCCACACCCAGCTCCCTTCCACCCTCCTTCCATTTGCACACAGCAATCTTCCCCCTCTGGCTTCTTTGATTTCTAGTTGGGATTTGGAAGCTGTTCTCTACCAGGGGTTGGGTGGGTGAGAGCAGGACTCTAATTGTGGATTTGATTTATTGCTGTGTTTGTTTAATAACTTCATTCTACTTAATCCCCGGGGATAAAGTGAAGAAGAAAAATGGGCAAGGTTTCTCTTTGGGGACCTTATATTCTAGTTGTGGGGAGAACATGAATTAGATCATTTCAGGTAGTGACAAGTGACAGGAAGCTGACACAGGTGAAGACATTTTCTCTGAATAGGTGACATTAGAGCAGAGAGTATAGGGGAAAGTGAGGGAACAGTATTTCAGGCAGAGGGAATGGAATGCACGATTTCAAGGATAGAAACTTACTTGGGATGTTGGGATATATTAGGGAAACCCAGTTAAGTTGTGTGGAGAAGAGAGATCATATGGGGCTTTGTGGGTAGTATAGGAGTTTGAATGTGGTGATACAAAATGGAAGCTTGCTGTGACTGATGAGAAGCAGAGAAAGGCAGGAGGCACTCAAGGCACTGCCCAGCCTACAATAACTGTTCTCTTGAAGTGCAGTTCATAACTGTTCTTTCAAAGCCAAGATGGTTGATGGTAAGTCCTCCTTACCTAGCATAGCAACCTGGATTTGTTCCCTGGGATCCACATGGAGAAAGGAGGGCGCTGACTCCTGCATGTGCTGTGGTGTCGCACACGCGCGCGCGCGCGCGCACACACACACACAGAGTAAATGCATGTGGTAAGAGTTATGATGGACAGGTGGCTCAGGAGTCAAGGCAGGGCTCCAGTACCCACAGGTGCTCACTTTTGCCTATACTTCTGGCTCCAGGGGTTGTAATGGCCTCTTGCTTCCTTGGGCATCTGCTGTCAGTGTACATACATAAAGGCAGAAACATGCAGAGACACACATACACATACATTCGTTAAAAATTTTAAGGTGAAGGTAGGTGTTAAGGTATGTTCTTACTATGTGTTACGGGCTTTCATTTACTAGATTTCTTCCCCTCTCCCCAGATGTAAGGAAGGCCTCAGAAATGCTTATCTCAGTGCAGTAGAAATATCTAAGAAAAAGGCAAATATATTGGGTGTTTGTGAGATGGCCATAGGAAACTGTTTATTCCCAAAACATTAATTTGTAACTGAAGGCCTGTAGGAAAAGGCTAGACTTTCAGTTACTCATTCAATATTTTTTTAAAAGATGCATTATTTATTTATTTTTGGTTTTCAAGGCACGGTTTCTCTGTGTAGCTTTGGAACATATCCTGGTACTCGCCCTGTAGACCTATAGAGATCCGCCTGCCTCTGCCTCCTGAGGGCTGAGGTTAAAGGCATGCACCGCCATGGCCCAGCCAAGGTCCTCCTCTTAAACAGCAGTTTGTTCTTTGACTAAGCAAGAGTCGTCTAGGAAGAAGGAACCTTAGTTGGTGGATTGTCTCTATCAGGTTACCTTTAGGCAAGTCTTTGGGGTTATTATTATTAATATTTTGATTACTGATTATTATAGGAAGGCCTAACCCACTATTGGTGGTACCACTCCTTGAGCATGTGGTTCTGGGTGGTATAAGAAAGCAAGCTGAAATCCCAGCATGGGGGGGGGGGCGTGCAGAGGCCTGGTCTACAGAGCAAATCCAGGACAGCCTCCCAGAGATTCATCTTCCTCTGCCTCCTAAATTCCGGGATTGAAGGCATGCACCATCACTGCTCAGTTTGAGCATGGTATTTATCCTAGCAAGAGAAAGCATGCTAAAGCAAGCAGCAAGTGCTCTTAAATGTTGAACCATCTCCCCAACCTTTTAAGATTTTTGGAGGGGCTTGTGAATGACTAAGAAGAGCAAACACAAGTACTATAAGTCAAATCCCCAGCGCTCGTTTAAAGTCAGGTGGACATGAATGCCTATAAGCCCAGCATTGTGGGTGGGAGACAGTATCAGACTTGTGGGTCATGTGTGCCACCCACCCTGAAGCTCAGTATTGGCTCCCCATCGGGATAAGCCCTTTTATAGCTAAGGGAGAGGAACTGCAGTAAGAATACAAATAGCATAGTTTTTTGTTTGCTTGTTTGTTTTGTCTGATCTTTGAGAATCTTGGTTTCTGGCTGTTGGGACATCGTGCCTTGCAGAGGCGCATTAGAGAGTAGTCTTTGTCTTCACTTTTTCTGAGTGTGTCAAGATGAAAGCTTAGCAGACTTTGGTAGTGCTGTGATTGTGATTATGCCTATAATCCCAGCACTTGGCAGGAGAATTGTTCCAAAGCCAGTTTGAGACCTTGTCTCTCTTTTTCATTCTTTAGAAAACTAGTGTTGGTATCTGATCATCCTCCTTGACTGCTGCTCCTTTCCCCAGCTTCTAGGTTGCCCTCTTTTAGCACTGGGCTTTCTGTTGTGTTCTTAGTTCAACCTTGTCATTTCCACTTAGGCTGCCTTAGGGAGCAGAAAAAGTATCATGAATCAGGCAGATTTGAGTGAGACCTGTCCTATCAACGTGGGCATGTAAATTAGCCACAGAGTTCCCTTCCTTATTGTTGTTTGAAATGAATGGTGCCCAGTGGTGACACAAGGCCTTTAATCCCAGTGCTTGGGGGTAGGCAGAGGCCAGTGGATCTCAGAGTTCGAGGCCAACCTGCTCTACAGAGCAAGTTAAGGACAGCCAAGGGTACACAGAGAAACTGTCTCAAAAAATAAACAAATGGTAAAGTAAATAAATTCACTTAGCACTGTATGGTTAGTTCATATAAATTACCCCTTTCTGTTTTAAAAACAGTCTGAATGGTCTTTACTTCTTTCTGTTCTGCAAGCTATTACCAGCTCTAAGTTCCAAATTCTCTGCTTTAATTGAATTTCACCCACTTTAAAAACCTCCAGTAGGCTGGGCATGGTGACGAACATCTTTAGTCCCAGCAGGCACAGGCAGGTGGATCTCTGTGAGTTCAAGGCCAGCCTGATCTACATAGTAAGTGCCAGGATAGCCAGAGCTACACAGTGATACCTTATCTTAAAAAACAATTAAAAGGGGCTTGAGAGATAGCTCAGAGGTTAAGAGCACTTCCAGAGGTCCTGAGTTCTATTCCCAGCAACCACATGATGGCTCACAACCATCTGTAATGAGATCTGGTGCCCTCTTCTAGCCTGCAAGCACACATGCAGACAGAACACTGTATATATAATAAATAAATAAGTAAATAAATAAATCTTTAAATAGAAATTAAAAGGGACTGGAGAAATGGTTCAGCGGTTAAGAGCGCTGGATGCTCTTCCAGAGGTTCTGAGTTCAATTCCCAGCAACCACATGGTGGCTCACAACCATTTGTAATGGGATCTGATTCCCTCTTCTGGTGTGCATGAAGACTGGTCACTCAAATATATAAAATAAATACATATTTTAAAAAATCAAAGGGGGTGGAGAGATGGCTTAGTAGTTACAAGCAATTGCTGCTCTTCCAGAGTACTCAGGTTCAATTCCCAGCACCCACATGTCAACTCACAACTGTAACTTCATTCAGTTCCAGGGCATTGGAAACCCTCACACAGACATACATGAAGATACATGAAGTCAAAACACCAATGCACATAAGATAAATTTAAAAAATTAAAAACTCGCTGGGCATTGGTGGCTCACACTTTTAATCCCAGTACTTGGGAGGCAGAGGCGTCGGATCTCTGAGTTCGAGGCCAGCCTGGTCTACAGAGTGAGTTCCAGGACATCTTCCAAAGCAATACAGAGAAACCCTGCCTTGAAACGACAACAGCAACAAAAAAACTTGTGTGGCTCCCCCGTATATACATTTAAGTTCTGAAACAGCTAGGTTTAAGGAACCAGTAGATCTAATGTTAACTCTCCTTTTGTTTTAGTTCATTTTATTTTTTAATTATTTTATTTTATTTGTTTTTTGAAACAGGGTTTCTCTAGCTTTGGACCCTGTCATGGAACTGACTCAGTAGACCAGGCTGGCTGGAGCTCACAGAAATCTACCTGTCTCTGCCTCCCGAGTGCTGGAATTAAAGGTGTGCGCCACCACTGTCCAGCTTTCATTTTATGTTTAATTAATAAAATAGTTATGCGTATGCTCATACGATTGTGTGTGCCAGAAGAAGGTATTAGATTCATTGAAGCTGGAATTACAGGTAGCTATGAGCTGCCTGGTGTGTGCTGGGAACTGAATTCACATCTTCTGCAGGAGTAGTATATAAGCACTCTCAACTGTTGAGCTATCTGCCCAGACCCTTTTTAATTTTTACAGCATATTGTTGGTGTGTATGTGCATGCATGTATCTCTTTTTTGGTTACAACTGTTCCAGGCAAGATTAGTTTTAAGCTTTAAAGGCCACTTAGGAGGGGTAGAGGCAGGGGATCCCTGTGATTTGGAGGCCAGGCTGGTCTACAAAGGGAGTTTCTGGATAGCTAGGGCTACACAGACAAGCAGTGTCCGGAGGGAGGGAAGGAAGTGGCTTTCAGACCATACTCCCAACTGTCCAGAATTACTTCCTTAAATGCAAATTTTGAGTGTGTAGTTTATGGTAAATACTTACCACTGTGTGTTCTGCATGAAGGAATTCTGCTTTAATCTAGGAGTTTTTGTTGTTTTTCTTTGATGGGGTCCCATGTAGCCTAGGCTGGCCCAGAAATTCTTTGTGTAGCTAAGGATGACCTTGAACTCCTGATCTTGCCTATGTTAATGCTGGGATTACAGGTATCTACCTCTTTGTCAGTTTTTAGTATCAGAACCTTAATGTGATTTTATTTACTGTTGTGTGTGATGGTTTATCTTAGAGTATTTGTCTGTTTGACTGGTTTGTTTTCTTACACGATAGGGCTTCCCTGTTATACTCCTGACCATCTTAGAATTCTGTAGACTATGCTGGCCTTGAACTTAGAGATTTGCCTGCCTCTGCCTCCTGAGTGCTGGGATTAAAGGTGTGCACCACCACCGTCCAACCTTTTTGCTTTGTTTTAATGTTTTTTTGTTTTTAATTATGTGTATGTGTCTGTAGGTATGTGTGTGTAGCTCATAGAGTCATTGTATCCCCCTGGAGTTGGAGTTATAGAAGTCTTTGAACTGCCTGACGTCGGTATTGGGAACCAAACTTAGTTCCTCTGTAAAAGTAGTAGTATGTTTTTTTCTTAACCACCGAGCCATCTTTCCCATTCCCAGTGCTGAACATCTTAATAAAATTTCTCTGAATATTTTTTTCACCTTTTATTAGGCTTTAAAATTTGTTTTTTAAAATATTTACTGTGTATACAGTGTTCTGCCTGGCACACCAGCAAAGGACACCAGATCTCATTATAGATGGTTAGGAGCCACCATTTGGTTGCTAATGTGGTTGCTGGGAATTGAACTCAGGACCTCTGGAAGAACAGCCGACGCTTTTTTTTTCCGAGACGGGGTTTCTCTGTATTGTTTTGGAGGCTGTCCTGGAACTCACTCTGTAGACCAGGCTGGCCTCTAACACACAGAGATCCACCTGCCTCTGCCTCCTGAGTGCTGGGATTAAAGGTGTGCGCCACCAACGCCCGACTTTATTTTGGTTTTTCAAGACAGGGTTTCTCTGTATAACAGCTGCCGGGGCTGTCCTGGAACTGGCTCTGCTGACCAGGCTGGCCTCAAATTCTCAGAGAGTCACCTGCCTCTGCTTCCTGATTGCTGGCCACCACTGACAGGCTTACATTTTCTTTTATGAGTACACAAAATAATAACATTTTTAAAAAGGGTTGAGGTCATCATTGGTTAAATACCTAGTTCAGAGTTAGACTGAGTATATGAATTCCTGTCTCAAAAAGATGCTACCCCCACCACCTCAAAAAAAAAAACTACTCCAACTGCATAATTTTAGGAAAAAAGGTTGCAATACAAAAGTATTCATAGTTGGGTGTGCTGATGTAATTTGAAACTTTACAGATGACAGAGCAGGATTGTGGCACAAGTTCAAGGCCACCCTGTCTAAAGAGTTTTGGATTGGCCAGCTAGCAGTGAAACTGCTCTCTCTAAAGCATAATATAAGAAAACAGTAACAAAAAGATTCATTTATGTTATTTACTTTCTCCTCAGGAGATCACTTATTCAGACTCTGTCTTTTACTTTTAAATTCAGAGCAATGGAGCTCAGCGATGCAAATTTGCAGACACTGACGGAGTATTTGAAGAAAACTCTGGATCCAGATCCTGCCGTTAGGCGTCCAGGTAAAGATGTCTTTGTACTTTGATTGAGTCATTCTTTGAGACACAAGGTGGAAACCTTTTGTGCAATCTGCCTGGTTGTAAATAGCAATAATAATAATAATAAACCTAACATTTATGTTTGCTTATTTTCTCAGACCTGGTTTATGTGACATGGTTGGCTGCTTACAGTAGCTATAACACATGATTTGTTGTTGAGTAAAGTAGCTTTTATTTGAACATCTTCTGGGGTAAAAATACTAGTGTGTTTAGAAAGCTTTGTCTCCTGAACTTTCTGAAACTCTCATTTAAATCTGCCAACTTTAGGAGCATAATAATTAAGGCATCAAACTAGATGTAATTCCCAAGAGGTAATTAAATGAATGAATTCAAGTAATAAGATCTTTTCTTCTCCTGGTGGCTTGAGTTAATTAACATTGTCAAAGACCTAGAGTTACTTGTATAAACTTGGAATTTCAACCTCAGATGCTCCTAAGAGTCAGATATGAAAGTAAATGAAAGGTGGACACTAGTGGTCCATAAAGATGTGTCTTGTTAGGGTGGGTAAGTGTTCTTGGTGGTGGTGGTGGTGGTTTTTTTGTTTTGTTTTGTTTTGTTTTTAAGACAGGTTTCTCTGTGTAGCCTTGGCTGTCCTGGAACTTGCTCTGTAGACTAGGATGACCTCAAACTCACAGAGATCCACCAGCCTCTGCCTCCCAAGTGCTGGGTTTAAAGGTGTATGCCATCACCTGGCTTTTTTGTTTTTTGTTTTTTGAGACAGGATTTTTCTCTATGTAGCTGGCTGTCCTGGAAGCATGTAGCTCTGTAGACCAGTCTGGCCTCAAACTCAAAAGTCACCTGCCTATGGCCCCTGAGTGGTGGGATTAAAGGAGTCCACCACCACCACCTGCCGTGTTTGGAATATATTAACTCTAAGGATAATGCAAGCCAGTTTTATGTGGTCAGATTTGCAACTTTGTTGGGATACCAATATGAAGTACCCTTATTTTTGAATGATGATAACCAACTTCAAAAGATTGGAAATGTGGGGATGAGAAAGTTCTTATGAACAGACAGTTGGTGATCCTTGATACCAGTGTCTGTGTGGACCAGAAATACCCCTAACCACCTTCAGAACATAATGTTATGCTGATGGAGAGGATTTATCTTCAGAGGATCTCAAGACACAACTGTTAGAGTCATGAGTGGAGGGAAAGATTGCATATAATAAATAGAATTGCAACTATGTGTTTGTGTCCATGCCATTCCTCCTCACCCTTTGTTTTCTGGGTAAGAAATCCAGTGCCAAGAGTTACATCCCTAGCCTCATCCTTTTCTAGAGAGTCTGCATGATTTCTTTTTCTAGTTATTAAAGTCATTTCAAGCCAGTATATAATTTACTTTGGGCATATAACCCCCCATCTGGCTACCCTCCTCTTTATCACCCCTATCCTGTGTGATATCTGTGTGTGTATATGTATACATGCATGCACATGCAGAAATCAGAGGTAAATGTTGGCTATCTTCTTTTTTTCTTTATGTGTATGAGTGTTTTACCTTTTGTGTGTATGCCTTGAGTGTGTATATGCACGAGTTTGCAAATACACACCTTGTGTGTGCTTGGTGCCCAAGGAGGGAATTTTATCTCCTGTAGCTAGAGTTACAGATTGTTGTAAGTTGCTGCATGGATGCTAGAAACTGAACTTGGTCCTCTGGAAGAGCAGCAAGGGGTCTCTGAATCCAGGAGCTCACTGATTTGGTTGGACTGGGTGGCCAGCAAGCCCCAGGGATCCACCAGTCCTTACTTGAATAGCCCTGGGATTGCAGCTATGCTCTCTTGTACCAGTTTTTATGTGGGTAATGGGGATGGAACTCAGGTCTACATGCTTGAGCGACAAGCCATCTCCTTAGCCCAGTTTTTTTCTGAGAGGTCACTCTGATGTCCAGATGTGTTCCTGGGTATAGGAAAGTTAATTGCTCTAATCTTCTTAGAATTTCTCAGAAAGACTATATCAATTAAATAATTTTTAAGCGTGTCCTTAAAATTTGAGGATGCTAAAGCTTTATGACCCTAGGACAAAGTGTGTAAATAAATTGTCTTTCTGGGAAGTAAATTTTTCACAGTGTCAGTCTGTGTGTATCTGACTGGACTGCTACCACCGTGTCTCAGTGCTGAGTATGGAACCCAGGACCCCATACTTGTTAGACTGTCTATATCTTTATGATGTGATAGGCAAATTATGTGCTGGATCCCCACTTTGTGGAGATATAACAATTGTATGGATACCTAGATAATTGAAAAATTCAGTTGGGCAGTGGTGGCTCAAGCCTTTAAACCCAGCACTTGGGAGGCAGAGGCAGGCTGATCTCTGTGAGTTCGAGGCACCCTGGTCTACTGATCAAGTTCAGGACAGCCTCCAAAGCTACAGAGAATCCCTGTCTTGAGAAGATTCTGTGTGTATGTGGATTCGATAGGACAGTATCATGTTTCTGCCTTTGTCATGCCACCTTTATTGTTTGGTTTTTGAGACAGGGTTTCTCTGTATAGTCCTGACTGTACTGGAACTTGCTCTGTAGACCAGGCTGGCCTTGAACTCACTGAGATCCACCTGCCTCTGCCTCTGGAGGGCTGGGATTAAAGGCATGTGCCACTGTCTATTTTTTGAGACAGGATCTCTTCTGAACCTAGTCTGCCCATTGACTAGACTTGCTCCCCTGTGAGCCCCCACAGATCCTCGTGTCTCTGCCTTTCGAACACTAGGATTACAGGAGGAACTCTGCTGTACTGATGGAACCATCTCCCCAGCCTGGAATGGGAAGACGTTTGAGGTTCCTTGACTATGTAGATAAAGGTCAACGTAGAAAACTTAAACTTTGTAGAGCTGATTCTTCCTGCCTTTATCTGATTCCCAGGGATAGAACTTGGGTTGTTAGGCTTCTACAGACATGTATGGTAAATACCTTTATTATGTAGGTTGAAGTAAACAAAAACATTGACTTAAACTTTTGAGAAGAAAGCTTGAGGGCTAGGGATGGATATAGGTAGAGTGCTTGTCTAGCATGCTTGAACCTGGAGAATCAATCCTCAGGACTGCATAATTTGGTAGCCCATCCCTGTAATCCTAGTTTTTGGGAGGGGGACACAGCATGATCAGATACTCAGATTCATCCTTGGCTCCATAGTAAATTAGAGACTGCTGAGGCTACATGAGATCCTGTCTGAATGAATGAAGGTAGATGAGGTGGCTCAGTAGGTAAAGGTGCTTGCTGCCAAGCTGGATGATCTCTGGAACTAACATGGTGGAAGAGGATATCATCACACATAAGCTGGGCAGACACACTAAGTAAATAAATATAGAACAAATTTTTAAAAATTATACTAGTACCCCAAACCAAAAAAAACAAAAACAAAAACAAAAAAAAACATGTCCTTTTCTGAAAACATTTCTCAGTTCAGCAGTCGGAATTCTTCATGAAGGGCATGGTAGATGCATAACAACGTTAGGGGGCTGGAGAGATGGCTCAGCCGTTAAAGGCTAGGCTCTCAACCAAAAAGCAAAACAACGTTAGGTGAAACCAATGTGCTTACTACATTTGCGTGTGCATATATACAGGCAAAATATTCATACATGTTAAAAATAAATCTTTATTTTTCTCCTAAACGTGTCCTCTCCCCATTTGTTCATGTAAGACAGGATCTCAGTATGTAGACCATGCTGGTCTGGAACTTACTGTGTTGGCCAGGTTGGTCTGAAACTCAAAAGACATCCACCTGCTTCTGCCTCCCAAGTGCTGGGATGGGATCAAAGCTGTGCACCACTAAGCCTAGAGCATACATAAATCTTTTTTAAAGGACTAGAGTAGAAATCTTTTGTCTTACTTTTGTGATCTCAGATGAGCTAATAGTGGCAGACTTTATGGGTGATAGTGACAGTTTAGCTCATGGTAATAGCTGTTCACATAAATGAACTCATTGGTGCTCTGTGTGGAAGGAGGCAGGGTGTGTAACAACCTGGGAAGCACCATCTCTGGGCAGACAGTCATCTCAGTAGGCCATCCAGAGATGTGGGGGAATTGAATGAGGTCTTTTGAAAACTGTAGGTTTTGTATACACTTCATCTAGCGTTACGTATAAGCCATTTAATGGATAAAGCAAATGTTGTCCTGTAGGAAAAATGTTCTAATCTTTGTGTTGGTTGAGTGGTTGGTTTCTGTGTATCTATCTGGGTTGTTTGTTTCCAGTTGGCCTAAAGTTCAGTTTCTAGCCTGGATTGGCCTACAACCCTCTTCCAGGTGCTCAGATTAAATCCTGAATCATCATTTGTCATCTTTTTTTTTTGTATTTTTATACTTTAACTGTAGACATAGTTCATTATAAATATGGAGTATAAATGTTTTATTATAACAAGTCTAACATGAAAATTCTTTCACAGCTGAGAAATTTCTCGAATCTGTAGAAGGAAATCAGAATTACCCACTGTTGCTTTTAACATTACTGGAAAAGTCACAGGATAATGTCATTAAAGTATGTGCTTCAGTAACCTTCAAGAACTACATTAAAAGGAACTGGAGAATTGTAAGTATTATGGGAATACATAATTAAATACTCTGTATATTTATATGTTTTATATAAACTCCCTTAGTATATTTAGATATGGATTAATGATAAACAATTCTTTCTCTACAAATCCTATTCTTTCCTTTGAATTCCACATAACTTTTTTGGTTTTTTGAGACAGGATTTCTCTGTGTAACAGTTCTCATTGTCCTGGAACTTGATCTCTAGAGCAGAATGGCCTCCAACTCACAGAGACCCACATGCCTCTGTCTCCCGAGTGCTGGGATTAAAGGCATGAGTGACCACCACCTGGTCCACATAACTTTCTCTGTTTGTTTGTTTGTTTTTTCTTAAAGATTTTTTTATCTGTCTATTTACTTACGTGGTGTGTCTGTCTGCATGTATGCCTGCAGGTCAGAAGAGGGCACCAGATCCTATTATAGATGGTTGTAAGCTGCTACCATATGTTTGCTGAAACTGAACTCTGAACCTGTGGAAGAGTAACCAGTGTGGTGTTTGGTTTGGTTTGTTTTGGTTTCACGAGACAGGGTTTCTCTGTATTGCTTTGGAAGCTGTCCTGGAACTCACTCTGTAGAACAGGCTGATCTTGAACTCACAGAGATCCTCCTGCCTCTTCCTCCTGAGTGCTGGGATTAAAGGCATGTGCCACCAAGACCTGGAGAGTAACCAGTATTCTTAACCATTGAGCCATCTCTCTAGTCCAACTTTATGTGTTTTAAAAGTCAAATACTTAATTTACAGTCTTTTTTGTTGATGACATAAGAGTTTATAAAACAGGCTGTAGAGATGGCCCATTGGTTTAAGAATACTTGCTGCTCTTACAGAGAATCCAGGTTTGGTTGTCAGTACCTGCCTGACTCGTAAGTGCCTGAAATTCCAGATTCAGGGCATCTGATACTTTTTTCTGACCTCAAGGAGCTCCTGTATGTAGATGGTACACATATACTTCTATAGTTAAAACACATAAACATAAATAAATGAAACCTAAAGAAAAAGTTTGCAATACAGTAAGTGTTATTTTAAAGTATAGGCAGATTTTTCTTTGGGCTGCCAACTCACAAATAACACATGGAGACTTCTTATTAATTGTGAAAACTCAGCCTGTAGTTTAGGCTTTTTTCTAGCTAGCTCTTATAGCTTAAATTAACCCATCTATATTAATCTGCATTCTATCTCATGGCTCATCATCTCATATGTCCTTACTGCCCATTCTGCTTCCACCTTGTTTGACTGGCCACTCATCCTTTCTTCTTCTCAGAGTCCTCTCTATCACAGGAAGTCCTGTGTAACCTCTTCCTGCCTTGCTATTGGACATTCAGCTCTTTATTAAACCAATCAGAAGGTGCCTTGGCAAAGATACATCTTCACAGTGTAGACAAATATTCTGCAACATTTCCCCTTTTTAGTTGAAAAAAAAAAAGGAAATGTTTTAGCTCTAATACAGTAAAATTATATACAATAAGAACAGTTACCAAGAAAAAAAACGTGCCAGGTGGTGGTGGCACAAGCCTTTGATCCCAGTATTCGGGAGGCAGATGTAAGGGAATCTCTGAGTTCGAGGCCAATGTGGTCTACAGAATGAGTTCCAGGACAGACTCCAAAGCTACACAGAGAAACCCTGTCTATTATTTATTGGGTGAGTCCAAAGTTTTGTACCTGCTTTATTTTCTATCAAAACTACAGAAAACTATCCAATCATCAACCCTATCAGAGATTCAAGAAGGACATAATATTACCCTCATAAACAGGAAGTGGAAAGTTAACAACTTCCAAAACTATAGAAATGGCAGGTGTAGGCCTGGGATTGGCGGCGCATACCTTTAATCCCAGGAGGCACCGGCAGGCGGGTTTCTGTGAGTTTGAGACCAGCCTTGGTCTACAAGAGCTAGTTCCAGGACAGACTCCAAAGCCACAGAGAAACCCTGCCTCAAAAAAAAAAAAAGAAAAGAAAAGAAAGAAATGGCAGGTGTAGCTGGGTGCTTGGACAGTCACCCTAGGTTCCTCTGCAACATTGAGGCATCATCCATCTTTGGCCTTCGGGCCTAAATGTCTGACAGACTTTTCTGCGAAGCAGGAACTTTGAAGGACTGTCCTAACTTATCTTGGCAAAGTTCCGCATTCACCTTCTTTGGTGTCCTGCTCTTCCAGTTTGGACAGCATACTGTCAGCAGTTGAGGCACAGGCAGTTTCTTGCCTGTTGGCTGACTTTGCCGTAACAAAAGCAAACTCCATATGGAGTAAATTGGAACTGTCAGGAGCAGACATGTTTCACTGTCATGAAAAAAACCTAGGTTATTAGAACATCTTAAATATCATATTCTGTAGATATCTGAAGTGTTTGAAGACCATCTATCTATTTAAATTATTTATCTGCTTAACCCTGAAAACATAGCCTAACATAACTGAAAGTGTTTGTGTGTTTGGTACTTTTGTTTCACTTTGGATGCCATTGAAGTTTATATTATGCATTAAATACTATTCTATATGATGAAGAAATAACTTTAAATCTTAGAAAAATCCATCTTGTTTTCAGGCAGGCTCTTTTCTGTAGGCTTGTAGGGATGGAAGGGCTTTTTGAGGCTGTCTCTTTGTAGTTTAGGCAGTCCTCAAACTCATGAGCAGTCCTGCTGCCTCAGCATCCTGAGTTTGTCTCTATCTTTACGATAAATAAAACCAGAGAGAGTCTATAGTATCTTTAAGAGGTGTGCTTCTGGGGCTGGAGAGATGGCTCAGAGGTTAAGAGCACTGGCTGCTCTTCCAGAGGTCCTAAGTTAATTCCCAGCAGCCACATGGTGCCTCACAGCCATCTGTAGTGAGATCAGTGCCCCCTTCTGGCCTGTGGACATACATGCAGACAGAACACTGTATGCATGATAAATAAATAAATCTTTAAAAAAAAAAGAGGTATGCTTCTGGTTGTGCTCTTAACTAGTAACAGACGAGGTTTTCATAGGGCAGATCTTTAAGGTGAGAATCAAGTTGAAGCTTTTTAAGATGACTGGTTGGACAAGCATGGCACATGCCTTTTATTTCAGCCTTGGGAGGCAGAGGCAGGTGAAACTTTTTGAGTTCAAGGCCATCGAGAGCTACATACATAGAGAGACCCTGTCCCAAAAACAAACAACACACACACACACACACACACACACACACACACACACACACACACACAAAAGATGACTAAGATGTATCGACAAATCTATAGATTTAAACCTTATGCTAACTAGTTTACTGAAATCTCCCTTCTTCATTCCATTCCTCCTTCCTTCCTCCCTTCTTTCCTCCCTACCTCCATTTTGGCGTTACTAGGGATCAAACCCAAGATTTACCCATCCTAGCCATGTGTTTTCCAGAATATACCCACAGTTTAGCCTTCATTCTTTTCTAGTTGTTTTCTTTTCCTTTTTTTTTTTTTTTTTTTTTTGAAAATAGGGTTTCTCTGTGTAATATTGGAACTTGCTCTGTAGACCAATCTGGCCTCGAATTCATGGAGACCCACCTGCTCCTGCCTCCCAAGTGCTGGTATTAAAGGTGATCACCAACGCTGCCCAGCTGGATACTAAATTTTTGAAATAAAGAGATTAAGGGTGACAGAATTTTTATTTTCTCTTTTTGATGTACATTCTTGCTATATATACCAGGCAGGCCTCAAGCCTTAGAGATACCAGCCTGCCCCTCATGGTGCTGGGATTAAAGGCATGTATTGCCATGCCTGGTAAAAATTTTCTTTATAAATTTATGATCTTAATTATGCTCTGAAAATTATTTGAATTTGTAAGGAGTAATAGAGTAGGTAGGGCATGATGGTGACACCTTTAATGCCATCACTCAGGAGGCAGAGGCAGGTGGGTCTCTAAATTTCAGGCCAGCCAGGATTGCATAGTAAGATCTTTCTCTTAAAAAGTGAGCTAGTGCTTCTATTTTTAGTTTCAGTTTTTTGAGACAGGGTTTCTCTGTGTAGCCCTACTGTAGACCAGACTGACCTGGACCCCTCTGCCTCTGTCTCCTGAGTGCTGGGATTAAAGGTATGCGAAACCACCACCCAGCTCTTTTTTTGTTTTTTGTTTTTTTTTTCAAGGCAGGGTTTCTCTGTATAGCCCTGGCTGTCCTGGAACTCACTCTGTAGACCAGTCTGGTCTTGAACTCACAGAGATCTGCTTGCCTCTCTGGCAAGAACCAAAATGCTTTTTTATTTCTTAAAGATTTATTTATTATGCATGCAATGTTCTGCTGGTGCCAGAAGAGGGCACCAGATCTCATTACAGATGGCTGTGAGTCACCATGTGGTTGCTGGGAATTGAACTCAGGACCTCTGGAAGAGTAGCCAGTGCTCTACCTCAAAGCCATCTCCAGTCCCAAGAAACAAAATTGTTAATTGGCATCCTAGAGTTTTTATGTCATATATTACATTTAGAAGGGAATATACAGTTCTTTCTTTTTATTTTATTTATGTTTTTGATACTGAGTTTCTTTTAAGATATTTTACACAGGTGGTGGTGGCAGCACATGACTTTAATCCCAGTATTTGGGAGGCAGATGCAGGCAGGTCTATGAGTTCAAGGACATCTGATCTACATAGCTAGTTCCAGGACAGCCAGGGCAGAGAAATCTGTCTTCCCTCCTGCCCCCTCCCCCCAAAAAAGAAAAAGATATTTTAATGTAGAATTTAAACATGAAGTTTAAGAGAAAGAGGGGTACTTGTAAAGAAAGACCCTGAGCATAGACTTCTTTGGTATCACCAAATAAATATACATGTCTCTAAGGAAAGAGTTTATGCTTTTGTCAGATTATTAAAACCTGTTGTTATTCCTATAGGAAGAAACTGAGGGATGGCAACTTCCTCCATTTTCCTTGGTAACCTAAGATAATAAAATTAGTTGTATTTTATCTGTGAACCCAGATGAATGTGAAAGTGACTCCTATGTCACTTGCTCATTGATGTTTCTCTTTTAGGTTGAAGATGAACCAAACAAAATTTGCGAAGCTGATCGAGTGGCTATTAAAGCCAATATAGTGCATCTGATGCTGAGCAGCCCAGAACAGATTCAGAAGCAGGTAATGCTCCTTCCCTGCGTCTGAGCTAGACCCAGGGAGGGGGGCGCTCCTTTATGAGGCTTTCTGCTAATTAAGCCATTCCTTCCCTAGCTGAGTGATGCTATTAGCATCATAGGCAGAGAAGATTTCCCTCAGAAATGGCCTGACTTGTTGACAGAAATGGTGAATCGCTTTCAGAGTGGAGATTTCCATGTTATTAATGGAGTCCTTCGTACAGCACATTCACTTTTTAAAAGGTATAAATATCCATCTTTATCTTTTAATATGGCTCTTCTGTTACATTAGTATAATTTTCTGTGTGAAATTTTTTTTTTTTTTTTGGTTTTACGAGACAGAGTTTCATTGTATTGTTTTGGAGGCTGTCGGACCAGCCCAGCCTCGAACTCACAGAGATCCGCCTGCCTCTGCCTCCTGAGTGCTGGGATTAAAGGTGTGCGCCACCACCGCCAGCTGCTATGTGAATTCTTCTTTGAGTATGAACATCCTTGAGTGACAGATCATTATTGTGTTGTTTCTTCTTGAGTAAGAACTTTCATCTTGCAATGCCCTCTTTCCTGTGAGTTAGATTATTTGTACTTAGAATTTAGAAGGCTGTCTGTCCTTGATCATCTAAATTAACAGAAAGTTGTACTCCTGTGCTTCTTTTCCATTTTCTAGATACCGTCATGAATTTAAGTCAAACGAGTTATGGACTGAGATTAAACTTGTTTTGGATGCCTTTGCTTTGCCTTTGACTAATCTGTTTAAGGTATGGTATGTCTTGAAAATTACCTCATATTTTAAATTGCTCAAATATGTGTATAAATTTTAAATGGGTTTTTTGTTTTTGTTTTGTTTTGTTTTTTGAGACAGGGTTTCTCTTTGTAGTCCTGACTGTCCTGGAACTCGCTGTGTAGACCAGGCTGGACTCACAAAGATGCGCCCGCCTCTGCTTCCCGGGTGCTGGGATTTAAAGGCGTGTATCACTGCCACCCAGCAAGATATTGTTTAAAAAACTTGTTTGATAGTGCAGCATTTCTTTGAGAAGAATTGCAATCCTGTGCAGAAATGTGGAGTGAGCTTCCATATTGTACCAGTATCAAGTTCTGACACTTTTTTGGTCTGCTCCCTTATTTTTGTAGGGATATTTAAAAACAAAACCCAAGTATCCTATCATTTCACCCAAGTAAGTTATTGACCATATGTGGAATTTAAGTAACTACATCATTTTACAGAGCACAGGCTACTTTCTTTGGAATGTTCTTGGTGTTTATAAGAATCCTATAAAGTTGAAAAATTTTAACTCAGTTTTTTTTTTCTAGTCAAGAGCACACAAATAGTAGAGTGACATTTGGGTTTAAGTCTGACTTTCTTTGACAGAACTTTTTTTCATTTCTTACCTTCACAGAGGATAGTGTGTAGTAGGCAGTACACCAGTAGGAGCTTCTACAGGTGTTTTTATTGTTAAAATAAAATTTTTCAAAAATTAAGACAAAATGTAATCAGTTTTTGGATTGGCAGGGGGTTTTATTTTCTAACAATGTACAAAGTCTTAGCATGTCTGCAATCCCAGCACATGGGAAGCAGAGGCAGGAGGATTGGAAATTTGAGGCTATCTGGGCTATATGAGCATGATCTCAGTCAGTTTGGTTTCTATGGTGAGACTGTCTAGAGAAGAAAGAATCTTTATCCAGATTACAGTGAATGAGATGAACATACTGTTCTGGATATTCTGTTACAAATGCTGCCACTTTTTTGGTTGTGGCAGTTCATTGAAAAAACCTTAATATTTTTAATTCTAAATTCCAGAATAAAGCAAGTAACATTTACTTTGCATAGTAGGTGTGCAAAATAAAGGAATTTTTAGATTTATTTATTTTACTTTTTATATACAAATGTTTTGCCTGCATGCATGTATATTCACCATGTGTAAGCCTGTTGGAGTATCTGGAACTGTAGGTTCTTACCCACTGTAGTACTTTTAACCACTGATCATCTAGCTAGCCCTTCTCTCTACTCTTTGTACCTCTGGCTAGCTTGAAACTCACTCTGTAAACCAAGCTGGCCTCAAATAAAAGAGATCCACCAGCCATTGAGTCAAGAATTAGGTGCCACCACACTTTTCCTCCTAGGATCTCATATATAGCCCTGGCAGACCTCGAACTTAGCATGTGGACCAAATGGGCCTTGAACTTAGTGACCCACCTGTGCTCTCTGAGTGCTGGCATTAAAGGTATGAGGTGTGTTACACCTGGCATTTTTAAGATAGTCTCTTATAGTTCAGACAAAATGCTTGAAGTTTAATAATTGATGATGGCCTTAAACATCTGGTGATCCTGTTTTTATCTCCCAAGTAGCTAGGATCATGCGTGCACTACCCCCAACAAGGTTATATGTTGCCAAAGATGAGACTTTTGGCTTCATGCATGTCATTGTTGTTCTACACCCATTCTACCCCACACTTTTTTGTGACTAGGTCTTGAGTAGCTCATGTGCCCCCTGAACCTTGGAATCCTTCTGCTTGTACTTGGATCACAGTCTTGCCCGACCACACCCAGCTGTAACTCACTAGTAGAATAATATTCCTTATGAGTAATGGAGACTGGGTTCTATGCAGATCTCTGGCCACCCAAGCCATTCCTGTGCTGTCTATGTGCTTTGTACTATTCATGTAGAATCACAGGCTCAAAAGTAGAGGCAGATGTAGAGCATTGTACATAAATGCATTCTGCAGTTAGGATAATGCTCAGTTGGAAATGATCTCAATACCAAACAATAGAAGACTATTTTGGTTTTTTGAGACCGGGTTTCTCTGTAGTTTTGGAGGCTGTTCTAACTTGCTCTGTAGACCAGGCTGGCCTCAAAATCACAGAGATCACCTGCTTCTGCCTACGAAATACTGGGATTAAAGGTGTGCGCCACCACCACCCATCAAGAATTTCTTAATCACAGAATAGAAACTGTTTTTGTTTAGCATTTATATATGTACACATAGGTGATGGAAAGCTGTTCAGAGTGTTAAAGTTTGGATTCTTCAGCAGTGCTGTTACAGTCAAATTAAAAACATTACCTTATTTTTCAAATTTTTGTAAGGGAATATATGCTACTATATAAGGCCTCATTTGGAGAAGATATCTGGGTAGTCTCGGCGTAGTACAAGGCCGTTTCACTAAGTTCAGCATGTTGACTTTATGACATACTAAAACCATGTTCCTAAATTCCTTCCCAAGGCTACCATTGAACTGTGCAGCACCCATGCAAATGACGCCTCTGCCCTGAGGATTCTTTTTTCTTCTTTGATCTTGATCTCAAAATTGTTCTACAGTTTAAACTTTCAGGTAGGTTTCATTTGATTTCTTGATTTTGGTTTTCTTTCTGTGTGTGTGTCTCTCTCTCTCTTGACTTTAAACATACAGTCTACCTGGCAAGACTGCTTTTCCCAAGCCTTATTTCATGTTTTGTTTCATAGGGATTTTTTTCCGCTCTATTCATTACACATCCACAGGGTTGTATTTTAGTAGTTCTTGGACGTGGTGCTAATGGGGGAAAGGCTACCAGTGAAGCTGTTGTCAGGACCTTTTCTCTATCGTGGGTCTACAGTGAAAACTACTTTGAACAAGCTATAAAGATAATCCTAAGAAACTATGTATTTGTGTAAATGAACAAGAAGAAGATCGCAAATCTTAATATCATTTTAAAATGGAATTAGAAGCAATTGGGAGTTGCTTATGAGTATTGAGAACCAAAAGTCACTTAGTGATCCCTTCAACATCTTCTCTCTCCTATCCCTGCCCCAATTTTTTGAAATGTATTACAGAATTAGATTTCTGCAGGCCAGTAAGATAGCATGTAAAAATGTTTCATTGCATTTTACACCCAGCATATACATGGTGGAAGAAGTCCAACTCCCAAACATCTTCTGACCTCTGTGTATGTGCTGTGGCCTGTGTATGAACATGTGCACATTGAGACAAAAACTAAAAAAATAAATATGATTTTTAATTTTTAAAAGGGTTTTTTATCTGTGTGTGCATGTGTATTTATTTACTTATTTGTGGATATGTTCCCTGTGTGTATGGGATGCCTGTGGAGGCCAGAAGTGGGCTAGAGTTACAGGTGCTAGAGACCAGACTTCGGCTCTTTGGAGGAGCAGCAGGTGTTCTTTTTGTTTTGTTTTTTTGTTCTTCTAGGCAGGTTTTCTCTGTGTAATTTTTGTAGACCAGGCTGGCCTCGAACTCACAGAGATCTGCCTGCGTCTGCCTCCTGAGTGCTGGAGTTGAAGACCACCACCGCCGGTCTGCAGCAGGTCTTCTTAACCACTGAGCCATCTCATTGTTCTCGTATGCTAGTGAGGGGGAAAAGCTCTGACAGTAATAAGAACCAAAGACATGTCAGAGGGAATGCTGGTAACCACTGCGTTGTAGCAGGAAATGTCTATCATGTTTGTTACCAAGATACTGTCTCTAGTTATTATTCTTTATGCTCTTTAAAAAATTATCTTTTTTTTTTAGATTTATTTATTTATTGTATATACAGTGTTCTGTCTGCATGTGTGCCTGTAGACCTGAAGAGGGCATCAGATCTCATTACAGATGGTTGTTGGGAATTGAACTCAGGACCTCTGAAAGAGCAGCCAGTGTTCTTAACTCTGACCCTTCTAAGAGCAGGGTGTGCTCTGACCTCTGAGTGTCTCTTCAGCTTTTTTATTTAAGTTTATTTTTCTGTATGTGTGCATTCAGATGCCATGTGTCCTGTTCTTGATTCAAAGATTCTAGATTCAGGACTTTAGGACAAGGAGAGGGTATTAACTGATACACGTTCATGCACCAAGATAAAAGAACTGGATTTGGCCCTTGTACTATGTGGGCTGTGCCTGTTCTTACCTCAGAACATGATAGTATTTGCAGTGGTAGTGGGAGACTTCAGCAAAGGAAATTATTAGGTGAAGGTGACAGATCTCCAAATAACAGACCCCACGTGTGTGTTGGACTGACTAGGAAAGTCCTTCACTGAGTACTACTGGATTTTGCTGTTGTTATCATTTAGTTTAGTTTTTTTTTTTTTTTTTACGTGAAAATTCAGGAAAAAAATAAGTTCGTTGTCACAGCTAGGAATCCCAGTGCTTCAGAAGAGGGTACTGAACTGTACTAGAGAAAATCAGCACTATATAAGAAATCAGAGTCTGGACTGCTTTTCATCTTACAATAAGCTCAATAGTTGGGAGGGAGGGGGATGTGCTGGTTATGAGTGTGCTTTGTAAACATGGGCTTCATGCCGATCCTCATGGAACCCTTAAGGAGTAAATAGATGTAGACTGAGGCACCATGATCCAGTGGTGGGATTTTCACTAAGGGTGCAGGACAGACATCATACTTCAGACTGGTTCTTCAGCTGCCACAGACTAAAGTCTACACTTGAGCTTACAGGCGTGGGCAAACAATTAATACATTCAAAAGTCTCAAGTCCATGATTATCCTTCAGGATCTCCCTGAATTTTTCGAAGATAATATGGAAACTTGGATGAACAATTTTCATACCCTCTTGACATTGGATAATAAGCTCCTACAGACTGATGTAAGTATTTATTGTTGAAGTCTTTAAGAATTATTTTTGCTGTATAAAATGGAATGTTGGAATGTTTGCTTAGCATTCATGGGCTCTGGATTCAAAACAGCACAAAAAATTAGTTAAAGACTTTTCTTGGGTTGTTAATAGATAAAATTCCACAAATGTAAGAAATATTTGACTGTGATATGTAGAAAATTTCTTACTGTTATGGGCTTACATTCCTTTAATCCAAGCTCTGTCAGAAGATTGGGAGTTCAGTGTCATTCTCAGATTTGAGGCCACTGGAAGGGTTCCATACCCTGATACTAAGTTTCTCTGCTGATACAGTAAGTCAAATCATTATCAGCAACAAGGAGAAAAAGCTTTTAGTCAACTCAAGAATTTTGAGACTCTAGATACCATGATGCTTGCCTATAATTCAAGTACTTGGAATGTTGAGGTCAAAGAATTATTAGTTTGAGGCTAACTTAGGACATATTGAAAGACTAAGCTTGTTGTTATTTTGTTTTCTTTTTTAAACATTTAATGATTGAAGCAAAAATACACCTGAAAGCAAAGCTTCTGGAAAAACTATTTGTTCTTTCCTGTCTTATATCGTTCCTCAAGCTTGACCTTGGCTTCCCACCTTGCCTTACGTTTCAAGGCTGGATCTCTAAAGACATCCTTATTGACAACAGTTTTGTCCAAAGGGATGTCCACAGAGTACCTTGTGGTCATGAGGTGATTATAGTTAAAAACTTTCACAAAAGACTTGATCTTTGATCGCTTGGCAGCTGCTACTTTTCAGTAATAGCAGTCAATTCCAGCCACCAGAGCATGGCTGTAAGGGCCGTCTAATGACGGCTTTGCGTCCAGAGTAGTGTCCAGCCAGGACCAACACTACTTTCCCGGGTTTCATGAACTTGCCCATTTGGACAGCAAGCAGCCAGTTCCTAACAGAAAGGTGTTGTTTTGTTTTCTTGAGAGACAGGGTTTCTCTGTGTAACAACCAGCCCTGGCTGTCCTAGAACTCACTCTGTAGACCAGGCTGACCTTGAACTCACTGAGATGCCTCTGCCTCCTGAGTGCTGGAATTAAAGATGTTCTGTCACCATCACCCAGCAAGACTATTTATTTTTTAAATGGGGGAGTGGGTGGTGGTGGTACATGCTTTTAGGGGGCAGATACAGGCAGATTTCTATGAGTTTAAGGCCAAAAGAGGTGGGGGTGAGAGGGAGGTTGAGAATTACAGTCAGTGATTAATAAATGATGATTTCATTACTTGTTTATTTGAAAGCCTTTCATAAATTGATGGTAGCACAAATGCTGTGCAATAATTGGTTTGTATTTAAATTTTAAAGATGCCTGTGCCTGAATTTTAGTTTCTTTCCTTCCTTTCTAGCAACCTAAATGTTGTATGTTGAGTTTTGTCTTTTCTCTCATGTGAGGATGAAGAGGAAGCAGGCTTATTGGAGCTTTTAAAATCTCAGATTTGTGATAATGCTGCTCTTTATGCACAAAAGTACGATGAAGAATTTCAGCGGTACCTGCCTCGTTTTGTCACGGCCATCTGGAATTTACTAGTTACAACAGGTCAAGAGGTTAAATATGATTTGGTAAGATGATTAGGTTGAGACAGCATATATTCCTTTCCTGTTTATTTCATACAAAAAAATTAGTCTTGTTTTTAAATATATTCTAATTTTTGTGTTTTGTTTCAGTTGGTAAGTAATGCAATTCAATTTCTGGCTTCAGTTTGCGAAAGACCTCATTATAAGAACCTGTTTGAGGACCAGAACACACTGACCAGTATCTGTGAAAAGGTTATTGTACCTAACATGGAATTTAGAGGTAATTATGACAAAATGAAAAGGGTCTTCAAGGGAGTAAAAGCTGTTCTTTAAAGTGTTCAAACTGGGTAGATGGGTGGGCATGAGGTCCCCTCTCCTCTCTTGTTGTTTCACGGGTGTTTAATATCAATTTAATAAGATGTCACAGCTGTGAAATGATTGTTCCTATGGTTTGTGTGTGTTGGCTTGAAGATAGATGCCTGCCTTGTCTGTTTAAAGTGGAGCCTGTTTTTTTCCTCTTTGTTAGGAAGGTAGGGAGTTGTGATGTCTATCACCCGGGCACCCAGCACTTGCTATTCAGTTGAAATAGCAAGGAAGCTAAGAACAGTATAATGTGGGACGTCACTTCATTTGTGAGTTTTCAAGCCACATCTGAAGGACGGATCTTTATTCTGATGTCTATCTTACTTGTGTTTATCAGTGAAATGTTTTGTTTGTTTGTTTCTTTGTTTTTCTAGACAGCTTGTGTGTGTAGCTTTGGATCCTGTCCTTAATCTATAGGACAGGCTGGCCTCAAACATATAAATCTACCTGCCTCTGCCTCCCAAGTGCTGGGTTGAAATGCATGGGCCACTACTGTCCAGCATTCAGTGAAATGTTTTACCACTTAGTAGTGAATACAGTTATGTTTTGTTTTAATGTACTTACTGGCAAAACAGAAGGTATTCTTAGAATGAAGCTAAACTTTTGAATGTTGTTGGTGAAAGTGAATTTTAGGAACCCTATTTTTTATTACAACCATGATTTGCTTAACACTAACTTTGTGGAGTGTCTGTTAAAGTCATAGTGAAGGGATACTTGTAAAAAGCATTTCTGCTGCTCAGGTGTAGAGTATGGTGACATGTGTTCTGTGGGCTATCTTAAGTTATCAACTTTCTCTGTAGCTGCTGATGAAGAAGCATTTGAAGATAATTCTGAAGAGTACATCAGAAGGGATTTGGAAGGCTCTGGTATGTATATAGGTTTTAGTTGATAGTCACCCTAGCTAGCCAATTCTAAGGCTTTTTTTCCTAATGTGGGGAGTGGCTAATAGTATAGGTTTAGCTATTATTATGAATGTTTTCCTTCTCTAACCCCCACCGTTGTGTCTGTCTCCTTCCTCTCTCTGTCTCTCTCTTGCCTCTTCTTTCTCTTTCACACTCACATACACACAAATATTTTTTCTTTTCTTTTTGTTTTGTTTTGTTTTGGTTTTGGTTTTTTGAGACAGGGTTTCTCTGTGTAATAGACCAGGCCTGCCTCTGCCTCCTGAGTGCAGGGATTAAACGCGTGCGCCACCATCTGGCTCACACAAATAAATCTTCTATCTTTTCAAAATATTCTTTGACCACTTTAATTTCATTCTCATTTTGTGTTTTGGAGAGGAAAGAAGTGGGTTATTTTGTTGTATTGCTGACAGTTTCTTAGAAATCCAACTGGTTACTTCTGTTTCCCAAGATACGTTTTCTTTTGATTTTATAGATATTGATACTAGACGCAGGGCTGCTTGTGATCTTGTACGAGGATTATGCAAATTTTTTGAAGGTCCTGTGACTGGAATCTTCTCTGGTTATGTTAATTCTATGCTCCAGGAATATGCAAAAAATCCATCTGTCAACTGGAAACACAAAGATGCAGCCATTTACCTTGTCACGTCTTTGGCATCAAAAGCCCAAACACAGAAGGTAAATCTTTTCTTGTTGGTTTTATTTCTGAAACACCTTGGCAACCACAGGGCTCAAAAAGAAATAATGTATTCCTCCTCATGCAGCCTGTTCTTCCACAAAGTTTCCTGTGGATGAGCAGAGTGCTCACCTCTTGACCCATGCTGCCTCGCTACCTTAGCAGAGACTCTGTATAAAACACAATTAACTAAGCTAATTACTGTCATAGACAGTTTGTTTTCTGTCTAAGAACTTGGGTTCGTTTCTGGGCTGAAAAGAAAATACCAGCACTCAAGAGACTAGAGGAGAATTGTGAGCTAAAGATCATTGGGGCTACATAGTCAGATCCTAACTCAAAAAAGAAAAAGGAGAAACAGAATGGAGAGATGACTTTGTGGTTAAGTACACTGGCTATTTTTCCAGAGAACCTGAGTTCAAATCCTAGTACCTACATGGTTCACAGCCATCTGTAACTCCAGTTGCATGGAACCACACACCTTCTTCTAGTCCCCTCATGCACCTGACATGTGTGTGGGGTACAGACATGCATGAAGGAAACATTCATACTTAAAAATAGAGGGTTTTCTGTTTTTTACAAAGTACTCATCTCCACTTTCTTTTTAGGGTTTTATTGTTTTTGAGACAGGGTTTCTCTTTAGTTTTAGAGCATGTCCTGGCCTTAAACTCATTTGGGGAAGCAGAGGCTTCCCCAAGTGCTACCACCATCTGGCTTGATGGGGTTTTCTAAAATTGCTTAAATTTCTGATATTATATGCAAATATATTGTGTTGTTTTACTGTTATATATTTCCTTTCAGCATGGAATCACACAAGCTAATGAACTTGTAAACCTAACTGAATTTTTTGTGAATCACATACTTCCTGATTTAAAGTCAAATAATGGTGAGTTTTGTGAAATTGTTTTTTGTAACTTAGAGTGTTATCCTTTCAGTTTTTGATGCTGTGATATGGCAGAAGTCAAGAGCTCTATATCACCGCAACATTCAGAGAGGCAGTGGTGATGTGGTTTCCTCAGCTCGTTTATGGAAAATTGACTTGACAATACATTTGATTTTCTTTTTCTAAGAAGAAACTAGGGATAAGGAGACAAATTGACACTCAGTTTTGTTATCCTCGTATATTTTTATTTTTGTTTTTCATATAGAAAGCAAAAGGAAGTAAAGCAAAGGTAAATTAAAATGAAAGTTTTAAGCTGGGTGGTGAACATCTTTAATATCAGCACACATTTAAATGCAGGCAAAACAAACACATTAAATAAGAACTTTAGCCAGTCAGTAGTAGTATATGCCTTTAATCTCAACACCCATGAGGCACCAGGTCTCTGAGTTCTAGGTCATTTTGATTTAGACAGTGAGTTCCAGGATAGCTACAGCTATATAATGAGACTCTGACTCGAAAGAAAATGAAAGCATGTAATTAGTTAATTAAAAATAAAAGCGCTTGCCCAGGTGTGGTGAGATATAGGAGTTCATAGACTTATAAAGCCACAGGACAAGTTTAAGGCCAGATGGGGATGAATCATATTCTCTCAGAAAAACAAATCAAGTTTAGTTCCAAAGTATGTGAAGTTGATAAGGAGAGTTTACTCTGTTTATGAGTATGCTGATATAAATTGAGACAATTCCTTAAATTGTTTTAATAAAGGATATGACTTAGGCCTATTGTGTGGGAATCAAGATTCACTAGACTCAGTACAGGTTAAGTGAAGTTTATTCAGGGAGAAGGCAATTACACAAGAAGCAGATGGCCTCCGCAGATTCCCACTCCAAGGATCCACCCAGCCTGCTCTCCATGACTTGACCGGAAGCAAGAGAGCCATCTGTGCTGGGACCCCAGGCCTAACACCACTATCCATCATGTCTGCACCTGTGATCACGCCCAGATGGGTGTGGTCAGCGATACTGGTGTTGGCGATATAGATATCTCACTACATAGGTCTGGTGGGGTGTGCCTTTTATTTTTTATTTTTTGTTTATTTACTTATTTATTTATTTTTTCTTTCAAGACAGGGTTTCTCTGTGGGTTTGGAAGCTGTCCTGGAACTAGCTCTTGTAGACCAGGCTGATCTCAAACTCACAAGAGATCTGCCTGCCTCTGCCTCCCAACTGCTGGGATTAAAGGTGTGCGCCACTACGCCTGGCTTATGTTTTTGTTTTTGTTTTTTTTTGTGGCACCAGCGTTTATGGGGCATGAGGGGCATCAGTCCTTCTTTGCTGCCACCTTCCTCATGGCCACCAGCATGTTGCTCAGCTCTTGCCGCTTCCTCTTGGCACACATGTGCATGCCCACACTCTTCTTGACTAACTTGAGCTCTGAGCTGCTTCTTAGACACCTTGAGCAGCTCCACTGGGCACGCAGCCACATACCTCCCAGATCATGTCCAACAAGAACTTGGTGTGCCTCGTGAGGTGCCCGAGACGCTTGCTGATGCTCTTTTCCGCCTTGTGACCCTGTCTGAGGCTCACAGCCATGGGTATCACAGGGCCATAGCTCCTGCTCTCCAGTGGCAGCCTCAATACCAAGGACATCACCTTGTGAATACCATGGATATCTCTGGAGCATGCCTTTAATCCCAGTACCCAGAGGCAGAGGCAGGGAGGTTCTGAGAGTTTGTGACCAGCCTGGTGCATGCATATGACAAGTTGTAGGCTAGGTAGAGTTACACAGTGCAAGTGTATGTACATGCAAGGGTCAGCAATAGCTTCTGTGCGGCCATCATATCCAGCTGACTATGATTCGCAACAGCTGGCTGGTTTTTATCATTACCAGTTTGTTTTTCTGTCATAAGAGGAATTGAAAGCAAATTCCAACTGAATGATGTGAGTTCAGAATAGCGTATTTGTTGGGACACTGATACACATTATGCAGCAGCTAAACTCTAGTCACTTGACCTGTATTAACTCCATTGTTTAAGCTCTCATGTCAATGATTTGTGAGTAATCTTATGTAATTGTGGTTTTGTTTTTTGTTTTTTTAATAGTGAACGAGTTTCCTGTTCTTAAAGCTGATGGTATCAAATACATTATGATTTTTAGGAATCAAGTAAGTGCTTTTTCCCTACCTGGCATTTAATAGTTTCATACAGCAGCTGCTCCAGTCTACTGTGTAATCACTGCATCTAACTAAAAAAACCTTTTAATAACCTGTGATTCCAGATGATGCTTAATTTCCTGAATTGAACCCATAGATTGACTCGTGCTAAACAAGTGTTCTTTTGTTTTGTTTTTTCAAGACAGGGTTTCTCTGTGTAACTTTGGAGGCTGTGCTAGAACTCACTCTGTAGACCAGGCTGGCCTCCAACTCACAGAGATCCGCCTGACTCTGCCTCCCGAGTGCTGGGATTAAAGGTGTGCGCCACCACCACACGCCTCAAGCAAATATTCTCATGTGTATATAGTGTTCTGCCTGCATGTATCCCTGTAGGACAGAAGGGGCACCAGATCCCATTACAGATGGTAGTTAGTATCCAGGCATCTGTCCTGTCCTGTCCTTTGGGTTCTGACAGGATACACCCTCAGCTGCAGCCACTAAGCACCGCCTGTGCACATTCACTACATTCCCTTTTAAATGGGTCCTGCCCACCTCCCATTCTTCTCTCTCTTTCTGTCCCTCTGTCTGTCTGTCCATATCCCACTCCCTCTGCCCCTCTTTCCTCTCTCCTGCTCCTCGTGTCCTGAGAAGCTGGTCTCCCCGCTCCCCTTCCCCTTTATGATCACTTTCCCTTGTGCCATGCATCTTTCTCTTTCGTGCTGCTTTCAGATTGCAACAGTAGTGAGCCATGTGTGGGTGCTGGGAATTGAACTCAGGATCTCTGGAAGAGCAGCTACTGCTCTTAACCTCTGAGCCATTTCTCCAGCTCTATACTCTGTTTTGTGTAATTTTAATGATATTCTATTTATACTTCTTTAATTTACCGTAAAATGTAAGTATGTTTCTTCAAAATAACTGCCAGTGTTCTCATTAAAGTAAGACAACTGAACACAGTTCATTTATGGTCTTCAAAAAAAAAAAAAAAGGTCTTTGGATTCATTTTACTGTTTTAAGTGTATGAGTTTTTGCTTGCCTACATGAATGTATAGACCACATGTATACCTGGTAGCCTTGGCAGTCAGAAGAGGGGCATCAGATTCTCTGCTACCAGTGTTAAAGATGATTGATTGTGAACCACCATGTGTATGCTGAAGATTGAACCCAGGTCCTCTAGAAGAGCAGGTCTCTTAACTTCTGAGCCATATTTTTAGACCTTTACTGTTGTGTTTATAGCCTTAGCAGATTATTATAGTTCAAGGATAAAGGCACCTGTGGCCAAGCCAGGCCACCTGAGTTCAGTCTAAAAGCCCAAATAGAAAAGTGCTGCCTCCTGCAAGCTGTGCTGTCACCGCCACATGCCATCACTAACGCACACGACAAATTTAAATTACCATGTTTAAAATAGCTGTGAATCATTTTAAAGTATGGTTCTTAAAATTATTGAAAGCTGTTTTTCCATATTTTGATGTGTTTGCTTATTTTGCCTTCACTATTTTGTGTTCAGAAAAGAATTGGAGAAGGGAACAAAATCAGTGGGGTTAGTGGCTAGAGTAATGGATCACAACTGTATATATCTTACTCTCTCTTCTGACGTACATGTGGTACATACTCATACACATGAATTAATCTATTTAGCTGCTCAGTGGTAATACACGCCTTTAGTCCCAGAACTTGGGAAGCAGAGGCAGACGGATTTCTGAGTTCACGGCTAGCCTAATATACAGAGTGAGTTCCAGGACAGCCAGGGATACGCAGAGACCCTGTCTCAGAAAACCAAAAGGGAAAAAAAAAAAGCTTTAAAAATTAATGGGCATTAAACCATTCAAGTTTTACTTTCTTAACAATATATCTTTTACAGTACAATAGAGCTGGGTGGTACTTTGTTTAATGTCAGTATACCCGATTTTTCCATTGCCTTTTATTAAAAGAAACGTTGGATTTAGAAGATATGTTCATGTGTTTTTCAGGTACCAAAAGAGCACCTTTTAGTCTCTATTCCTCTCTTGATTAGTCATCTGCAGGCTGAAAGTATTGTTGTCCATACTTATGCTGCACACGCTCTTGAAAGGCTGTTTACTATGAGAGGGCCAAACAATGCCACTCTGTAAGTATTGATTTCTGATTCATTGTTAGTTTAGGGCAACAGAGGGTGTACCTTACTGGTGTGAGATGTCTCTGAATGTTTGCATAATCTCATTAGTATTTAGAAAAACTTAAATGTGCAATGTTTATTCATTTACCTTCTCTTGTTCCAAAAGCATGTAAGGTAACTTAATCAGATAGACTCATTGTGCTAATGAGTTAGAACAAAGGAAAATAACAGTAGTAAGGTTAATGAAAACCGGTGTGTCAGAGGGCCTTGTTTAATGAAGAAGCTCCGGGTCTTATTTGGAGTCTTCTAGCAGCCAGAGGAGATGGAAACATGGAGACTGAGTGTTCTGTGTCCATGAGATGGAAAATGAAGCTGAGGACGGGGCAGCTCTGTGTCTGTAGCAGCTTGTCTTTGCAGGGTCTCTTAATCACTTCTTTCTTTGAGGAGAGGGTGGTACATGTTTATGTGAGCAGTAAAATATTTACTATAACATAAATATAAAGGGAACTGCCCAGTCTACAGTTTTTTCTTTTTGCAATAAAGATACAAAAATATGCACCAAACATTGTTCAAAAAATAATAAAAATAAAATAACAAAATTTAAACTTAAGCATTAACAGATGAAGAAATGGAGAAGGGAGTAGCTCCAAACACATCCAGACCATAAATAGAGATGGCTCAGAAATCAGGAAGCCATATTAAAATATCTGTTTTTAGTTTAGTCAGGTGTACAAAACCCTTTAGAACGATGGGGAGGGACAACAACCCAGAAAACCAAAAAATAAAAACCACACACAAATGTTTCTTTCCCTTTGCCAGTGTGTACATATCTGACATAAGTGCATGGCCCCCACCTCTCCCCAGATTTGGAGAATGTCTCTCCAGTGTCCCCCAGCTTCCTGAGGGGCTGGAAAGAGAGCAGTGGAAAGTAGTAGGGAATCAGGCAAGGTTCTTGGGGGAATGCTTTATTTCTACAGCTGGTTAAAACTAGTTCTAAGTTTCAGTCGTTAAAACTAGGAGGGGGAAGTCCCAGCAGGGAAGCCTGACCACTTCTTTCTTGTTCTCAGCTCAGATATATGGTTTACTTTGAGTAAGTCATTCCTTAGGCACCAAGAAAGTAGTTTTGTGGCCTGATGAGGATGAAATGCTGAGGAGAGGTCTGTTCTTTTCAGGCAGTTTTCAGTGTTATTTCTTGGAACCAAGCTCTCTAAGTAAGACATGGAACATAATCTTAGGCTCTGTGCCTCCCAGCTTTGAGCACAGATGCTCTTAGTGGTCCCTCCGGATGAAAGGACATCCTGAGAGGCATCTTTACGCCCAGAGGTAAATGTAGAGAGTATGTGCTGCACCTCCAAGAAAAGGTGTCTGAAACCCTTGTGATTGTGGGCACTGTTTTCTGTGGTGGTAGATAGGAACCAAGAAGACCTCAGGTTGAAATGATACTGAGTTCACCTAGCGTGTTACACTTGACCACATATGCCTAGTTAGGAGTTTAATGTGTAAGCAGTTATTTACCAGTGTTGCCCACAAGTTCTCAGTGGTGAGAGATGCTCATTTTATGCCAAGAAGTGTGCTGCAGTAGGTGCCCAGGGCTCCCCAGTGAAAAGCTCAACAGTTGGCAGTGACTGAAAGCTGTTTTTTCATCTATAGTTTTACAGCTGCAGAAATCGCACCGTTTGTTGAGATTCTGCTAACAAACCTTTTCAAAGCTCTCACACTTCCTGGCTCTTCAGAAAATGAATATATTATGAAAGGTAGGCCGTTTCCCTGGTGTACAGACCATAATCTAACCTCAGATTATAAGGTAAACACTCTTTAGTTATACATCAGGTTCCATACTTCAAGAACCAGGTACTGTTTGTCCCTCCCAAAAAACCTTTCTGTTGTTGTTCCTTTTAAGTAAAATAAATGTTACTTTGTTAACTACCAACTTTTCAAAAATGTTTAATTTTAGGTTGATGGAATACTACTACTTGTCTAAAAAAAGTATCAAAATTTAATTTTTCCTTTCTTAGAGTTACTTTCAGAGGGCAAAGATCAGCGCAGCTAATAGCCTCTGATAGCTGTGTTCTGCTAAGCGGCAAAGCTGTGTCCTGCTTCATGCCTCCTCCTCCTAGCGATGCTGGCAGCAATAGTGATCTGCCATGCACTGCCTTAGGAGAGTGCCTTGGTGACAACGTTAGCTTCTGGGATCAATATGCATCTTCTCACTGTTACGTCTCAAAGGTCTCATTGCTTTTTGAATCATGACATGTACTTATCCAAGGAACTCCCTGATCTTCGAGCTCCCTTCAGGGCTGTGGATTTGTGGGTTTTAACACCATAAGGACAGCAAAGTGATTGGTGGTCTTTGTTACTGTGTCCCTAGTGTGCAATAAATATTGTCACATCCTCAGACTGCCTTAACACAGCTGTGTTGGTAATATCGAGTAAAGGAAACACTTATGCACATCTTGGAGTCAAGAGACAAATTTCTGTTCCTTGGGACTAATTTGTTATCGGGGCTTTTTAGTAAACACTGACTCAGGAAATGAATCTATGTAATGGTAATAATTATATATTTAGCTTACCAATACATATGTGCCACTCCTATGCCACATGTTTTTAGTTTTAGGTACCTGTTGATGTGGAAAGTTTTTACAGTATGGACTCTGTATGTTTAACTTTTTAATGTCTTTAAGAAGATCAGTAGCCAGTGTTAGATCTTGGCTAAGAGTTCTGTCAGAGGTCTGTTCCCTGAATGATCTGGTTCGATGTCTTCGCCACCCCACTGCTCCTTCCTCCTCCTTTGTCTGCTCCTTTACTATCTAGTAATGTTTGTTGAATTCTTGGTCTTACAGAAGTGCTTTAGTATTCTCTACCTATATTTTGCCACCCTTCATTTAGCCTGATAGAAAAGGGAGACATTTTTAAATGGAGGAAAGAATGTAGGGGATATTTGCACATCTTCGATTTTTATTCGATGAATTAGTAGCCTTTCCCTCCAATCACTTTTATCTTAATGATTAAACTGTTTGTGCTGGTTTTTTTTTTTTTTACAGCTATCATGAGAAGTTTCTCCCTCCTGCAAGAAGCCATAATCCCCTACATCCCTACTCTCATCACTCAACTTACCCAGAAATTGTTGGCAGTTAGTAAGGTAAGAATGAGCTTGTGTTTTTAAAAATACTGAAAATGTTTATGTGTATGTATATGGGCACACTCATACTTCAACGTATGTGTGGAGATGAGAGGACAACTTGCAAGAGCTCTCTCCTTACATTATGTTGGCTCGGGATTAAATTTAGCTTGTCAACAAGTGGGGTGCGTTGGTTGGTTGGTTGGTTGGTTGGTTGGTTGGTTGGTTGGTTGGTTGGTTTATTGTTCTTGATTTTCAAGAGGTTTTCTCTGTAGCCTTGGAGCCTGTCCTGGAACTCATTCTGTAGACGAGACTGGCCTCGAACTCACGGAGATCCACCTGCCTCTGCCTCCAGAGTGCTGGGATTAAAGGTGTTTGCCATCACTGCCTGGCTCTACCTGTGTTCTTGGAACAGAACTGCTTTACTGCTTGGGGAATAGAGGGAGAACAAAACAAGGTTGTGTGACACCACACACACGCACGCATGAACATACATGCATACCCCCTTTTGCTCTAGCCAGCTCATGGTAGCTTTCTAAGAGCTTTTGAGAAAATAGGAAGACTGCTGTTCTTAAGGGTCAGCAGCCTGTGCACACAGGTGTCAAGGCTGGGCAGAGCCAGAAAATGCCTTTCCCATTGCCTACAGTGTGACTCTCCTAGGACATGTGGGTTTAAGACAACTCTTAGAGATCTGGGGCTACAGCTTGTGTTTCCACACAGAACCATAAGAGACCTAGCTAGCTAAGTGGTAGAGCACTTCCTTAGAATGTAATGTGTGAAGTCCTGGGTTTCTTCCCATCACTGCTATTTCCAAATAAATAGCAAACACTGATTTAATTCTATTTTTTCTTTCTTCTTGGTAATTTGCTTGTTTTTATGTGTGTGAGTGTTTGTGTGTATGCACTGTGTGTGTGTCTGGCACTTATCAAAGTCAAAAGAGGCGGATGTCAGATTCCCTAGAACTGAGGTTCACAGATGAATGTGAGCCACCACATGAATGCTGGAAACAAAACCACATCTCCTATAGGAGCAGCCATTGTTCTTAAGCACTGAACCACAGCTCCAGCCCTCTCACATTTTAATTTAATTTTGTTAAGACAGGGTCTCACTATATAGCCCTGGCTGGCCTGGAACTAACTATATAGACCAAGTTGGCCCAGATCTCAGGGCGTTCTGCCTGTCTCAAACTCCCTAGTGCTAGGATTAAAGGTGTGTTCCACCATGTCCAGCTTTTACGCCATTTTAAAAGGAGCTGGCATCTATTTTACCTGTTGCTAGGAGGGTCAGGTGTATTCTGTTCTAGGCGATACAGATGTAGTCACTCTGATTATTGAGATGGTATTTTGTTGGTTTTATTATTTCAGAATCCCAGCAAACCTCATTTTAATCACTATATGTTTGAAGCAATATGCTTATCTATAAGAATAACCTGCAAAGCTAACCCTGCTGCTGTTGTGAATTTTGAGGAGGCCCTGTTCCTAGTGTTCACTGAAATCTTACAGAATGATGTGCAAGGTAAGCTAACAGGAGTGTTATGTGTGAGACCAGGTGCTTATAGAATGCCGCCCTTCAGACCAGCGCCCTGCATGCTGCAGTAACAGCTCTTTTCATTTCCATCAACAGAATTTATCCCCTACGTTTTTCAAGTGATGTCTTTGCTTCTGGAAACACACAAAAACGATATCCCGTCTTCATATATGGCCTTGTTTCCTCACCTCCTTCAGCCAGTGCTCTGGGAAAGAACAGGAAACATCCCTGCTCTAGTGAGGCTGCTTCAGGCATTCTTAGAACGAGGCTCAAGTACAATAGCAAGTGCTGCAGCTGACAAAATTGTAAGTCCCGGGTTATTTGTAAATAACGTTAATTGTTGAAGATCATTTGCAAAAACTAGGAGTGGCAGGTTTCTAAATTTTCTCCATAAAATAATTAAGTTCAGCCGGGCGTTGGTGGCGCACGCCTTTAATCCCAGCACTTGGGAGGCAGAGGCAGGTGGATCTCTGTGAGTTCGAGGCCAGCCTGTTCTACAAGAGCTAGTTCCAGGACAGCCTCCAAAGCCACAGAGAAACCCTGTCTCAAAAAACCAAAAAAAAAAAAATAATAATAATAATAAAGTTCAATAAGATGAGATGATTAGTAGGAATGGTAATGTATACCTTATTGATACCAGCTATTATTTGATTATTATGTCTGTAGTGGAAAAATAAGGACCAATAGTTTAATTTCAATGGCTTACTAATGTAAGAGGGTGTGTCATCTTCATCCCTTTTACAGTTTAGAAATAAGAGCTGGAAAAGGCTGGACATGGTTGCATGCACGATGTAATACCAGCCTTGGGGAGATGGAGGCAGGGGGAATTAAAAGCTCAAAGTCATCTTTGGCTCCATGTAGCTTCTGCCACATGATTCTCAGTCCACCAGTAAGAGCAAAAGAGTAAGGCTAGTTACAGTGTTCACTAGTGGCCAGTTTTCCGTGGGAGCAGCCAGTTGGACTTGTATAGTAGTCAGTCCCTGCCTCTTTGAATGCTCATTGTTTGATCTGGTTTGTTGTAGCCCGGGTTACTAGGTGTCTTCCAGAAGCTAATTGCATCGAAAGCAAACGATCATCAAGGCTTCTATCTTCTCAACAGTATAATAGAGCACATGCCTCCGTGAGTCACATTAACCTCTGCATTGAAGCAAAGATTATGTTTTATGCTCAAAAGGCTGGGTTGATATGTGTGCTTCTCTTTGGTTCTTTAGTGAGTCAGTTGACCAATACAGGAAGCAGATCTTCATTCTACTGTTCCAGAGACTGCAGAACTCCAAGACCACCAAGTTTATCAAGAGTAAGTGTTTTATTTGGAAATGCTTTGAGAGTCTAGTGGTGGGCAAATCTTTTATCAGTCATAGTGTTACATATAAAATATCTTTTTAAAAAATGTGTGCCCTAAATACTAAGTTTGAAATGCATTATGTTCCAAAGCTTGGTTTGTGTCAGTTTAGGGAGAAACACACGTTCCAGTCGAAACATTAATGTGGAGGTTTGTAACTGTGATACAGACGAGGAGGCCCCTTTCTGAGGGGGTTGGGAGGCAAGTGTTAAACTGATGACACTTAGATTCCCCCGACAGATTTTAAGAGAAATCTCTTACAATTTCAGTGAAGTTCATTGTTAATCCTCTGTCTTCTTTCCACAGGTTTCTTAGTGTTTATTAATTTATATTGCATTAAGTATGGGGCATTAGCGTTACAAGAAATATTTGATGGCATACAACCAAAGTAAGTTGTTAGCTTTGCTTATAAGCAAATTATTTGACCATTTAGTATAAACCAGTGTGTGGTGGATGGGGGTGGCTTTGTTGTTCTGGTTTGGGAATAGTTTTGGGTGGTTTTGGAAACATTTGGACATAGAAAAGCTGATCATGTCATCATTTCCAAAGACTGTCTCCTGGCATTCTTCACCAAGCTCAGTGTCTACAACAAGACTCAGAAAGAATAGCTCATTGGATAAACTGTGCAAGGGCAGCAGCCTGACACCAGTGTCAGAACCTTGCACTTGGTGAAGCTTGCTTCTGACTTCCATAGTATTTGTGCAAAGAATGTGTTTAGTAGTCTGACCTTTAAGGCAGTGGGATACTAACAGAGAACAGATAGAGGACAGCTGTTAGAGGGAGAATCGTGTGAGAAAATAATCCCAAAACAGTATAGAATGTCTTTAAAAATCAATTATCTTAGAAAGTAGTACAAGAAAATACAGGTCCTAGTAGTAGGGGATTGTGGGAATATCTGAAGCTTATATGCTGCCCCTTGGCACTCTCTTAACAGTGAGCAAAACCTGTCCTCTTGGTGCAAGGCAATGAAGGCCCCTTTTATCCACTCTCTGTACATAAAGAATAGGGGTGTCGCATCATTTAGAATGTGAGAGGTTTTACTTCCAGGTTGTTGCCAATAATTCATATTCAAGGACTGGTCAAATGCACTGTTAGCATTTATGTGCTTATAGATGTTTAAGCAAAGAGAGATGCAAGCTCCTAATCAAGAGCTCTCACACTGGTCTGTGCCCGGAGCAGGTGCTCTCACACTGGTCTGTGCCCGGGGCAGGTGCTCTCACACTGGTCTGTGCCCGGGGCAGGTGCTCTCACACTGGTCTGTGCCCAGGGCAGGTGCTCTGGCTTTTGTACCTTAGCTCTGTTCTTTGTTTTTCAAAAATTTCTTCAACTTTTTCAAAAAAAATACAAAAATCACTGAGTAGAAATAACATCTAAATATTTCACTAAGTATAGTGCTTATGTGATATTGAGTAGATTTGCTTTTTTAATAGGATGTTTGGAATGGTTTTGGAAAAAATCATTATTCCAGAGATTCAAAAGGTATCTGGAAATGTGGAGAAAAAAATCTGTGCAGTTGGCATAACCAAATTACTCACTGAATGTCCACCAATGATGGACACCGAGTACACCAAGCTGTGGTGAGTACTCCCTTCTGAGAGTGTGGGGAAAGTTTCCTTCTCTGTGGCTGCAGCACTAACCATCTTTCTCATGGAGAATGGGGGCAGGCCTTGATTCTTCATTAAAGGGAGTAAATGTTTATAGGCCCTTGGAGACTCTGATGTGATACAGACTTCTGAGCCTCCTGCCTCTTCCTTCTGAGTAACCCTGAAGGAAGGCTATGTTTCGAAGGTGTTTTCTCTTTTGTGTTGTCTTGGTATGCGTGCATGTTCACGAGTATGACCATACACCTGTCTGGACTCTTTTGCCCATCATCCCAAGTTGACCTCTTTATTGAGGTTTTGTCTCTTGGTGACCCTGAAGCTGCTGATCCCACCAAGGTTGCCATACTGTCTGTCTTTTTTTATGGATCCTAGGAATCCCCGTTCTCACCCTTGCGTGACAAGCACCTTAGTCGATAATACATCTCCCTAGCCATTGTATTCTGGGCCAAATTGTTACTATGCAGCATAGGCAGGTCTGGAAACCACAGCAGTCTTCTTGGCTTCATTTCCTGAGTTCTGGGATTTTGGGCATAAGCCACGGTGCCAGGTTGTTTTGTTTGACTCTTAAAAAAATAATTTCTTGTGCTTTTCTCTTAATTTTTCCAATCCAGGACTCCTTTGTTACAGTCTCTCATTGGCCTTTTTGAGTTACCTGAAGATGACACCATTCCTGATGAAGAGCATTTTATTGACATAGAAGATACCCCAGGATACCAGACTGCCTTCTCACAGCTAGCATTTGCTGGTAAAAAAGAACATGACCCTGTTGGGCAGATGGTGAACAACCCGAAAATCCATCTGGCACAGTCACTTCACAAACTGTCTACTGCCTGTCCAGGAAGGGTAAGCATCTGTGCCAGCATGGACACTGAACAGTTATGAGATCAGCAGCTGTTTTAGTTGGGATTCTACGGAAAGCTTTTTATTTTTTTTTTATTTTTTAAAGAATGAACTTTAAAAACATGCTATATGTGGTGATTACACCCTCAGTCCCAGCACTCAGGAAGCAGAGGTAGGTGGATCTCTTGAGTTCAAGGCCAGCCTGGTCTACAGAGCGAGTTCCAGAACAGCCAGGACTACGCAGAGAAACCCTATCTCAAAAAATAACAAAACAACAACAACATAAACCCTGTAATATACTCAATGGTTAAGTAATGGTTCATGGATTGAATCTAATACTGGCCATTTAATTGCATTTAGCTAGTCTTCCAGACTTTTTGTACTATATGATAGGGTTTTTGTTTTTGTTTTTCTCATACATAGAAACAATATGACAAACCGGTGTACCCAGATAAAGTAATTGCCAACATTTTGTCAATTACTTATTTTACTTTTTCACATTAGTGAGTTTTCTATAGAATCAGTACACATAGAGCCGGAAATATGGCTAAGTGGTTAAGAGCACTTCCAGAGTTGCTGAGTTCAGTTCCCAGTACAACTGTCTGTAATGAGATCTGGTGCCCTCATCTGGCCTGCAGGGATACATGCCGGTAGAACACTGTATACTAAATTTTAAAAAAAGAAAGTATATCTAAGTACTTAATTAGGTTTTGCCAAACATGGTTGAGTAGATGTACCCTTGTAATCCCAGTTGAGATAGGTGGGTAGCTGTCAGTTCGAGGCTAACCTGGGATACATAACAAGAATTTTGTCCACAAACTAAAAGAACATAAAACCCTTTATCCACTCAGGAGGCAGAAGCAGGCAAATCTCTGAGGCCAGCCTGATCTACAGAAAGCAGAAACACTGTAAAAACAAACAACAAGAGAAAAAAAAACTTTTATCAACCATAGCACCCCAACAGTAATTTTTTATGGGTCTACTGTGTATATGTGTGAGTATGTCCGGGTATGCATGTGTAGGTCATAGGGTAACCTTGTATTTTTTTCAGAGTTCATCTACCTTATTTATGAGACATTTGTAGAGGTTTTGAGACTACTTGTCAGTGCCACCCACTGAGTCCTGGGGATCAAACTGAGGTAGTCATGCTTGGTGGCAAGTGCCTTCAACTCACTTACCCCAAACCTAGTCATTTTGAAGGTAGGAAGTCAGTTGAGTTATCTTGCCCTCCTGTGGACAGGAACGGGAACTGGCTGCCCTCCCCCACGTAGTGGCAGCATCCATTTAGGCCCTTTTGTGTGTGCAGGAGCCTCCAACTCTGTGTTTTCTTTCTATAGGTTCCCTCGATGGTGAGCACCAGCCTCAACGCAGAAGCATTGCAGTACCTTCAAGGCTACCTACAGGCAGCCAGTGTGACTCTGCTGTGAACTGCTTCTTCCTGACCCCATGGGCCCAGGATGGTTTCTTAGGAACCATGTGGACTCCAGAGCACAGCTCTGCTGAAACATTACAGGTTTTCAACCTCTTGAATTTGTAACAAACTCCATCTTACAGAGGATAGTAAATACTCCTGTATGCAAATGAGGTGTTTGTGTTGATCATCAACATACCTGGTAATTTGTGACTTCATGGGACAAGTAATTACAACGCCATGTTCTGGCCATGGTCTGTGTTGAGCATTTGCACGGTTTGGATTATTTCAAATTTTTGCCAGACCTTGACTGTGGAGACTTCTGTTTCTAAGCCCTTTTGTTTTGAAGCTCATATTTCTCTCATCCTTTGTACTATTATTTCTTTAAGCTTTCATTGGAAATGTGTCAACTCTCCAAGCAATGCACATTTCATAGTTGAAGTCTGTAATCAGCAATAAAAACCCAAAATGTGTATCTAAGAGCATCTTCAGGACAGGATTTTGGTGCTTTGGTAAAATGAAGAATTACTTTAAATCTTTCCACTTTCCCCTCCTGTACTCCATAAAATTCCTAATTTTTTAATGATTTAAACTCAGGTTGGCAGTTTGGTTTTTTGTTTGTTTGGTTGGTTTTTTTTCTTCCATAAGCTAAGCAGCCATTCATACAAATTTGGGACTTGTCTACAAGGATTTGTTAGTGATTATCACTGTGAGAAAAAAACTGCCTGGCATCATAGGCTTGGTTCGAGTAAGACCTGTGGAGCAGTGTAGATTGGAGAAGCCACACTGTGGTTCCTGCTAGGGGGAACTGTCCATTTGTTGTGTTTCACCTAGAATTTCCTGTAGGCACAGGTCTTTTTTTCTTTTTTTAATGGAAGTTATAGATGGCTTTTACAAAATATTTTATTTTGCATTAATTGTTTCTTTTGTTCACCTTTCACCTTGTGGCTTCTAGGGATTGAACTCTCTGATTTTTTTTCAAGTTTGCGACGAACTGTTTGGTCATACATTTTTTTTTTTTTTTTTTTTTTTTTTGGTTTTTCGAGATAGGGTTTCTCTGTGGCTTTGGAGGCTGTCCTGGAACTCACAGAGATCCGCCTGCCTCTGCCTCCCGAGTGCTGGGATTAAAGGCGTGCGCCACCAACGCCCGGCTTAGTCTAACCCTTCTTGCTGTGCATGTTTTGTTACATTGCCTGGTAGGTTTCAAAACAATTTTAAGTTTTCCACCATTTTATCTTTGTAAATGCACCCCTTTGTGAATTAATGTGTACCACGTGCGGTACTTGGCGAGGTCAGAAGCAGCTGTCAGATCTCCAGGAATGAAATGGCAGTCTTCGAGGAATAACGGAGCCCCTCTGAAGGGCACCTTGTGGTCCTGACCACTGAACCTTCTCTCCAGCCTCCGTCTTATGTTTTTAGTTCTGGAAACATAAACTTTTAGTATTCGGCATTAATTTTTTGTTTTGTTTTTGAGATGGGGTCTCTTCTATAGCCCTGTCTCTGCCTCCTGAGTACTTTAGGCATGAACTTAAGAAAAAATTTGTGAAAAGATAGTAGGGTGGGAAGATGACAATGTGAGTGTCTGGAGCTCACTGAGTCTTTTCTCTTGATCTTTAAGCACATGTGCAGCAGCAGGCATTGTATTCCACTCAGAAGTGACTGGTAAAGTTGTTTTTCCTTACTCGGTTATCTTTGTAAACAGAGCAAGTGTTTCTGACACGGAGACTGCTTTTTTTTTTTTTTTTTTTTTTTTAGACTCTTAACTACCTTGTCGAGTTTTTTCAGTTTTTTGTGTGTGTGTGTGTGTGTGTGTGCTTATTCCTTGGAGCACCTATGAGGTCAGAAGACAGCTTAGCTTAGGGCCCTGGCCACCCTTTTTTTTTTTTTTTTTAATGCCAGACCCAGTGATCAGACTGATGTCACAGCTTTGCACAGCAAGTGCTGCTCCCTACCTACTGTGTTCACATGGTGTGCGTATGCACTCCATTCATAGCACATGTGTGTGAGCACATGCACTCCACAACACTGTAGGTCTCTCCTAATGTTCAGGTGCTCAGAATCAACTCATGTCATCAGGTTTGTGCCTTATTAGCCTGTTAGGCCGATGGTTCTCAATCCCTTTAGTGGTTGATTATCAGATATTTGCATTTCAGTTCATAACAGTAGCAAGATTAGCATTGTGATGTGGCTACAAAGTAACTTTGTGGTTGGGGGTTACCACAACGTAAGGAACTGTTTTGGCATGGTTGGGAATCATCTGCATTAGGCCATCCTATTGACTCATATTTAAATTTGTTTTGTGTTGTTTTGATAGGATTCTGTTATGCCATTCTCCAATAGTTTTTAAGTCCCAGTTTTAAAGAAAGGGTAAAGTAATGGTAGGTAGGGCTTAGGGGTATAGCTCTGCACAAGGACCTGCCTGGCTGCCATCCATCCCTAGCATGGCAGGGGTTGGGGAACACAACAAATATGTTAATGGTGATTTGGGTTAAGACTATACTGACTGTCAACTATAACAGGTGACTTGGCTTCTTGTTTGTGCTTACCTAACAAACAGGTGTGATACCATTCACCTTCAGGCTGAAAGACAACTAATGCATACAAGATCTCTGGAAGCAGAGACCTATGGGGAAGCAGCTGGTCCTCGGTGTGTGTTGGTGGAGGCCAGGGCCAGGCTGTCAGCAGATGCTCACTACCACTGAGCTTACTGACCACTGCTGCCCATCTTTCTGATGCCAATCTTTCTGATGCCATGGTCCTAACAGGGGGGCAACATGCCTCAAGCCCAGGGCCTTACTATACACAGAGTAATGTCAGTGTCCCCCATAGCTGCCTCTGGGTCTATTCTCCTGATAGTGTGATCCTATCTTTTTAACAAACAGACTTTTTTTGAGAAAGGGTTTCTTTGTAGCTTTGGGTATCCTAGAACTAGCTCTGTAGACCAAGCTGGCCTTGAATTCACAAAAATCCACCAGCCTCTGTCTCCCGAGTGCTGGGATTAAAAGGGTGCCCCACCAACACTCAGCCCAAGTGGACATTTTTTCTTTTATTACATTCCAATCCCAGTTCCCCCTCCCTCTCCTTCTCTCGCCTGCTCCACAGAGAGGGTAAGACCTCCCCTAGGAAGTCTACTGAGTCTGTCCCATCATCTTGTTGAGGCAGAACCAAGGCATCTCTCCACCCCCACGCCCCTGGTACAAACAGAATTTTTGGTTTTTCGAGACAGGGTTTCTCTGTGGCTTTGGAGGCTGTCTTGGAACTAGCTCTTGTAGACCAGGCTGGTCACGAACTCACAGATCCGCCTCTGCCTCCTTAATGCTGGGATTGAAGGCGTGCGCCACCACTGCCCAGCCACAAACGGACTTTTGGAGTTGGCCATTTTCTCCTCAACTGGCTGATCCTGTGATACTGTCTCCACCCCTAGTTCTTTGGGCTGTAATTGTCTCCCACCCCTACCCCCAGATAACTCCCGGCCATGATAGTTTTGCACTTACCCATCCTAGACAGATGATACTCAGCACACACTGTCACCTGACAGAGCCATGATGCCATCATTTATAGTAGAGTTCCATTAAGTGCACAGCAATGGCTAGCAATGCTCCTGCCCAAGAACACACTCGGGCGTCCTGAGCATTCTTCAGGAGCATTCTTACACACTCAACATTTCCTGAAGGTGGAATTATTCCAGTTCCCAGTTTGTTGCTTTTTGGCTTTGTTTTCAAGACAGGGTTTCTCTGCATAGATCTGGCTGTCCTGGAACTCACTCTGCACACCAGGTCAGCCTCAAACTCAGAGACCTGTTTGCCTCTGCTTCCCAAGTTCTGGGAGTAAATGTGTGTGCTACCATCACCCTGTAAAAATGTATGATTAAGGAGCTGGAGAGATGGCTCAGAGGTTAAGAGCACTGACTGCTCTTCCAGAGGTCCTGAGTTCAATTCCCAGCACCCACATGGTTTCTCACAGCAATCTACAATGAGATCTGGTGCCCTCTTCTGGCCTGTAAGCAGATATGCAGGCAGAACACTGTACACATAATAAAAACTTGTTTAATGTATGATTAATCTTTGTGGGTTACTGGTGGTGTCCGCCTTTAATCCTAGCACAAGAAACACGGTCTCAAAAAATTTACCTTTGTATATATATTTGTGTGGAAAATGTACAGTACCCTCAAGAAACCAGAAATGTGTCAGACGGTTGAGTCACTGTATGGGTGATGGGAACTGAACCTAGGTCCCCTCCACCTCTCCTGACCCTGTTCACATTCCTCAGGTGCTCAAATTCATGCTCCATCAGAGTGCAGGCATACATAATAATAAACCTTTTTTTAAAATGTAATCTCGCTGGGTGGTGGTGGTGGTGCATGCCTTCATTCCCAACACTTGGGAGGCAGAAGCAGGAGGATCTCTGTGCGTTCAAGGCCAGTCTCCAAAACAATATAGAGAAATCCTGTCTCGAAAAACCAAAAAAAAAAAAAAAATCTCAAATGCTCTCTAGCTCATCAGGAGCCATGAAACACATCTGCAGCAGAGACAGGAGGTCGTAAGCCCTGAAGGAGGGGGTATGCTAAAGTGCCCTCTTCTGAAATGGTATCACTGTTGTATCCAGGTCGAAGCACCTGTGATTGCTTGCAGAAGATGGACCTGTCACTTAGGAGAAAGGGGCTCAAAAGGCTCTACCCCCTGAGAGTCTATAAGCAAGTAATGGTTACTGGGGTAAGGACTAGATTTTCTTTAGTGGGCATCGTACCTGTTTCTGTAAGCCATGTTGGTTTGAGTCAGAATAGCCCGAGTGCTCCTGTATTTGGATGCATTACATAATGCATTCATGTTGAATATTCACCATGTTTTGCATACATTCCACAGTCAAGCGTACATGCAGCCTTTAAAAGTGAATTCTCTCCTCAGTGGGGTGGTGCACAACTTTAATCCCAGCACTCAGGAGGCAGAACCAGAGGCAGACAAATCTCTGGGTTTGAGGTCAGCCAGGTCTACAAAGCAAGTTGTATGACCACCAGTTAAGGCTGTTATACAGAGAAACCCTGTCTCAATAGCCACATATAAGTAAAGTCAGCTCCTACTTTAAATCTTCACTCACTGTCAGCCTGGCTCCCCAAGCTGCCACATTCCTTCCCTCACTCTTCAGTTACTACTCAATTGGAAAAAGACTTTCTTGATAGCTGTTTATTGATCAATAGTTTAATATAAAGAGATTTTTAGATCTTCAGATTTTTGCCCAGAGAGAATCACAAGCATTACAAATATTTTTTTTAAAAGGGGAAATAGGGTAATGAACCAGGAGATTGATCTAGAAGTAGTGGTGTTTGAAAATAAATTAACAAAAAAAATTTTTAGTATTACCATTTATTATTGACAATGACTTAGTTTACTTACATTCCATGGGTGAAAAGGTTCCAGCTAAACCAAGAGTAGAAGCGGTGCCAATGCTTTCCACCAGGACGAGCTGACCTTCCTGCGTCTGTG